CCAACTCCTGGAGTTTACCCAAACTCATGTCCATTGAGTCGGTGATGCCATCCAATCATCTCATCCTCTATCATCCCCTTTCCTCCTGCCCTCAATCTTTCTCAGCATCAGAGTCTTTTCAAATGAGTCAGCTCTTCACACCAGGTGGTCAAAGTATTCAGAGTTTCAGCTTCAACATCAGTCCTTCCAATAAACACCCAGGACTGATCTCCTTTAGGATGGACTGGTTGGATCTCCTTGCAGTCCAAGGGATTCTAAAAAGTCTTCTCCAATCCCACAGTTCAAAAGCATCAATTCTTTGGCACTCAGCTTTCTTTATAGTCCAACTCTCACATCCATACATGACTACTGGATAAACCACAGCCTTAACTAGACAGACCTTTGTGGAAAAAGTAATGTCTCTGCTTTTCAATATGCTGTCTAGGTTGGTCATAACTTTCCTTCCAAGGAGTAAGCGTCTTTTAATTTCATGACTGTAGTCACCATCTGCAGTGATTTTGGAGCCCCCCAAAATAGTCAGCCGCTGTTTCCACTGTTTCCCCATCTATTTGCCATGAAGTGATGGGACCAGATGCTATGATCTTAGTTTTCTGAGTGTTGAGCTTTAAGCCAACTTTTTCACTCTCCTATTTCACTTTCATCAAGAGCCTCTTTAGTTCTTCTTCACCTTCTGCCATAAGGGTGGTGTCATCTACATATCTGAGGTTAGTGATACTTCTCTCAGCAATCTTGATTCCAGCTTGTGCTTCATCCAGCCCAGCGTTTCTCATGATGTACTCTGCATAGAAGTTAAGTAAACAGGGTGACAATATACAGCCTTGATGTACTCCTTTTCCTATTTGGAACCAGTCTGTTGTTCCATGTCCATTTCTAACTGTTGCTTTCTGACATGCATACAGATTTCTCAAGAGACAGGTCAGGTGGTCTGCTAATTCCCATCTCTTTAAGAATTTTCCACAGTTTATTGTGATTCACACAGTCAAAGACTTTGGCATAGTCAATAAAGCAGAAATAGATGTTTTTCTGGAACTCTCTTGCTTTTTCAGTGATCCAGCGAATGTTGGCAATTTGATCTCTGGTTTCTCTGCCTTTTCTAAAACCAGCTTGAACATCTGGAAGTTCACAGTTCACGTTTTGCTGAAGCCTGGCTTGGAGAATTTTGAGCATTACTTTACTAGCATGTGAGATGAGTGCAACTGTGTGGTAGTTTGAGCATTCTTTGGCATGCCTTTCTTTGGGATTGGAATGAAAACTGACCTTTTCCCGTCCTGTGGCCACTGCTGAGTTTTCCAAATTTGCTGACATATTGAGTGCAGCAGTTTCATAGCATCTTTTAGGACTTAACATAGCTCAACTGGAATTCCATCACCTCCACTAGCTTTGCTCGTAGTAATGCTTCCTAAGGCCCACTTGACTTCACATTCCAGGATGTCTTGCTCTAGGTGAGTGATCACACCATTGTAATTATCTTGGTCGTGATCTTTTTTTGTACAGTTCTTCTGTGTAGTCTTGCCACCTCTTCTTAATATCTTCTGCTTCTGTTAGGTCCATACCATTTCTGTCCTTTATTGAGCCCATCTTTGCATAAAATGTTCCCTTGGTATCTCTAATTTTCTTGAAGAGATCTCTAGTCTTTCCCATTCTATTGTTTTCCTCTATTTCTTTGCACTGATCACTGAGGAAGGCTTTCTTGTCTCTCCTTGCTTTCTTTAGAACTCTGTATTCAAATGGGAATATCTTTCCTTTTGGCTTCTCTTCTTTCCACAGCTATTTGTAAGGCCTCCTCAGACAGCCATTTTGCTGTTTTGCATTTCTTTTTCTTGGGGATGGTCTTGCTTCCTGTCTCCTGTTCAATGTCACAAACCTCTGTTCATAGTTCATCAGGCACTCTATCAGATCTAGTCCCTTAAATCTATTTCTCACTTCCCACGGTATAATCATAAGGGATTTGATTTAGGTCATACCTACATGGTCTAGTGGTTTTCCCCACTTTCTTCAATTTAAGTCTGAATTTGGCAATAAGGAGTTCTGAGCCACAGTCAGCTCCCAGTCTTGTTCTTGCTGACTGTGTAGAGCTTCTCTATCTTTGGCTGCAAAGAATATAATCAATCTGATTTTGATGTTGGTCATCTGGTGATGTCCATGTGTAGAGTCTTCTCTTGTGTTGTTGGAAGAGGGTGTTTGCTATGACCAGTGTGTTCTCTTCTCAAAACTCTATTAGCCTTTGCCAGCTATCCCCCAAATAAAAAGAGAATTGGTTGTCTCATATTGGAAAGTACAGGGCTTGGCTGGCTCTGGGCTTTAGCCTGGGGATCAAATGATGTCATTGGATGTCACCTCACTCTCTCCAGCTCTCAGGTTTATTCCATATTGGTGCCATTCTCAGGTAGGCTTTCTTCCTCCATCGGTATAAGTAGATTTACAGATTCCCATCCTATCTCTTTTGGCAACTCTACCAGGAAAAGTCTCACTGGTTTTGTGTGAGACACAACCCATTATCCAGTCAATGTCATTAGCCAAGAGATACTGGGTGCTGGTAGGCCTGACCTGGGTCATATGTTCTGGTGGGTGGAGTCCATTCCTCTTAAGCTATAGACTGTGAGCAGGAAAGAGGTTGTCCTCAGGAAATTAGGGTGCTCTTTTTTAAAGATAGTTATCTATTTTTATTTATTTGGTTGCTCCAGGTCTTAGTTGTGTTATGTAGGATCTAATTCCCTGATCAAGGATCAAACCCAGGATCTCTGTATTGGGAGTGTGGAGTCTTAACTGCTGGATCACCAGGGAAGTCCCTAGGGTGTCCTTATTAGGACTGCATGCCCAGCAGGCACAATGGATGTCTTTTATAGCAGGTGTAACTGGTACCCAGTAAACAGTAATAATGGTCATAGCTTCTCCCTTCCCTGTCTCCTGGTTCCCAGGCATTCTGCATCTGATGTCAGCACATAACCATCCCTGTTTATCTTCAATACTCATACTCCCCTCTCCTAAGAAGCTGTCCCTACACATTAGATTTACAACTGTTTAAAGCCTGTATCTCTGCTACAATTCCCTGTGAATCTTCCTGCCAAGTGATTAAGGGCCTGCCTTCTTTTCTTCCCTCCTGCTCTGGTTTCTAGGAACAGCTATTTACTGAACAAGCGGGTTACTGAGAACCTACAAAGAGCTCCAGAATCAGGGTGTAGTTTTCTGCAGCTGCTGTACCATCCACTATCATTTCCACATCCTTTTAGATCTTAAAGATGCTACTTAGTCTAATCAGGCTGTTTAAAACCTCTAATTTGTCAGTTTGAAAACTACACATTATTAGATGCCAATAATTTATCCTGCATTGTCAGAACCCAGAATGGTATCGAGACATCGTGCTAAGAACTGGCAATGGTGAAGTTGCTCTTTTGAGAACTAGGAGGGATGAGCTTGACTCTTGTTGTCTGCTGATTCTGAATATTTGATTACTCCCAGTCCGATTTTCAGCTTCTGTGCCTTCTAAGCATTATTTGGCTTCACAGATGAATTGAATCTGTCTATAAGGGGAGAAAAGGGCTGGCTGCATGGATTCCTGCATTTTCATTGTGGTGACAGTCTATTTCTCATTGAGAGTTAGTCTATTATCTTCAGGGTTTTATAGCTCAGTTTTAGAATCTTGTTTTTATAAATCGTAGAGATGGCTCTGCTTGCCTCACAGTGGGAACATCCGAACCCTGGGTGAGGCTGGAGGTCAGATCAAGGTGAGTTCTCCTGGGTAGTGGGTGTTCCCTGTGAGGCCTACTGGTGTTTCCCAGTTGTTGTTGTTCAGTCGCTAAGCTGTGTCTGACTGTTTGGGTCCTCATGAACTGTAGCCCGCCAGGCTCCATTGTCCATGGGATTTCCCAGGCAAGAATATTGGAGTGTGTTGCCATTTCCTTCTCCAGGGGATCTTCTTGACTCAGGGATTGAACCCAGGTCTCCTACTTGTCAGGCAGATTCTTTACCACTGAGCTACCTGAGAAGCCTGTGTTTCCAGACACACCCCTAATTCTCTAGGCCAAGCTACCATCACAGTTTTCTGTAATAAATAAGATAAATAAGCAGGAATGAACAAAGGTTAATTTTTTTTAAGATAATATAAATATCAAAAAAACTGAAATCTAAAATACATCAACTAGGTCCTTTTATACAATATATTTACACTATGATTCTGACTGGGAAAGGTGAATGGGGAGTCTCTGAGTCTCTTCTCAGGCCAGATGTCCCCTACAGAGCATAGAACTGAAGAGGCAAGGGTCCTCTCCCCACTGCTCTCTGCTACTCCCTTTTGCTTTTTTCTGAAGCATTTCTGAATAATAAATGCAAACTAGGTTTGAATATAAAAAGCTTAATGACCACCCCAATTTAGGATTGTGTATCATTATAGGAACCAGGCACAGAGAGGATGGGAATTACCCTTCATCTCCAGGGATTTGTGAGGGAAGTCAAAGATCACACAGAAAAGTTATTTGTGACCTCTAAGCCAAGGCACGGCTGGTGTAAACTCATCAGCTAAATGAGGGCATTTGACTAGATGGTGGGTTACATTCCATCTAAGTGGGGAAGGCCAGTGTCTATGCTCTGGTCTTTCAGGCTGCGAGGACATGCCCTCTCTGCTAGGGTGGATGCTGGAAGCAAAGTTTATCGTATTGTGGATCTGACCTCCTGATATAAAAAGTAACTATGGTGGGATTAAAGTAGGTCAATAAAATTACAAAATTTTCTGTACTTGTGGGATAAATTAATTTTCAAAAGTTGGAAATTTATGTATGCTGTAAAACTGTGGCCAACTCCAGTCTTAAATAAACTAGACTTTCCTGTAGGGATATAAAATTTGAGAGTCAGTCCCGGTGAGTTACTTTTCAAGTTCCAGGGGCCCATGTCCTGCATCCACAATGCCTCTCCATTGTACAGTTTCTCCCAGGTCACCTGGGTAAGTGCATTTTTTGTCTCATGGAGGCTCTGAAATGTCTCTTAAAAAACAAAGCATCAAGAAATTATGATTCAGGGACTTGAAACCCTAACGTTACAGGCAAAGCCTCATTTTTGCGGAATATAAAGCACTCGGTCTCTTCCACTTCTAAGAGCTCGTTGAGAGAAGCCACCACGAGATCATGTTCCTGCAGCATTTCCGGGTAGCGGGACACAGCTCGTTCGATCCTGGCCGAACGCCTCACGGGTGTGATCAGCTTCATGTCCTGCACCTCTGGCATCCCATTTATCCTAAGAGAGCAAGAGGTGCATTCAAAACCTTGTAACTCCTTTCAAAATTCTACTTATTATTTTTTTCTTATTCTCTAAAAAAACATGAGAGAATCTCAACGCTGGCTGATACAAGAGATGTGTCTAGGGCAGCTCTTATCCTAAGACGGACGTTCCCTGAATGTTAGAATGAACTGGGTGGAGTCCATCTGTTGTCAGATGGTGTCAGCAGAGGGATTTCTTTGAATGAAGTGCTAAGTGTGGTTTTGTTTGAAGTCAACTACTTGGCAGTTGATGTTTGTTTATTCCATAAACTTCCACAGAGTTGACATCCTTTGGGGAAATTGGGCCTAATACCAAAAGAGGCTGGACTAAAGAATTCAAGACACTTTCTAGTTTTGACAGTAAATTATCCAAAAACATCTTTTAAGATGGTGGACCAAACCACAGATGGAGACTGGAGCAAACTGGGCATCTTCCTGGTAAGGGCTTTAATGCATTCCTATAATAGCCTGAAAGATAAGCTGCAGAGACTTTCCATGGAGTGAATCCTGGCCACAGGAAACAAAATCACAGATTACATTTAGTCTTATAAAACTCATGGCCAGTCTGCTGAAAATGCTCCTAAAAATTCCCGAGCCAGTGAGAGGTGGCTTTCACATCAGCAGCTTAACTTCATCCACCCAGGAGTGGAGTATAGTGGGGAAATGACAAATCTGAGAAAGGTGTTTAGAGCGGAAAAAGCTCACATGTGCTCCCCAGGAAAGTAAGACAAAGAACTGTGGTCTTGGTGCTTTTGTTTGAAATTTTCCTTTCAAGAGCACGAACAATGACATTGATACCCTGACATAGTTCCTTAAATTATTACACATTCTGTCTTAAACTTCCACTTGTTTCAAAACCAAACACTTGATACAGAGTAGCCTCTAACTAGTACAGTCCTGATCGCCCTCCTTGTTCTTATAGGCTATTCACGGCCCCTTCCTTCCCATAGCTCCAGAGGTTGCCCTTGCTTAGCAATTTGTGCAGTACCCCCACTCCTAACCCCCAGGAAAGGTGGGTGGGATCTGCCATTGCAGGACAAAAGAGGGTGAAGGGGGAGGACCAATTTCAGGAGGAAGGGGTGACTCCACTCCAACACCCCTCCTGAGTCTGGCAGCTCCTTCCTCACAGGAAGGTCAGATCTCCTTGGAGGTGCTGTGGTGGGGTGGGGTGTGTATAGAGAAAGGACTTTCTCCCTGGCATGGGTTCCACCCCTCCCCTTCCCCTCTTTCCCTTAACACCAAAGATGGATTAGATCACCTAGTCCTCATATGAGGCAGGGAGTATTCATATCACTAATCTGCTGGTATTCCAGATCTTCAGAGGAGAAGCTGACAATTGGACTTAATTTAGACCTGCGAACACAAAAGCTTTACAGTGTGCTTACCGAGGGATTGGGGCGATCTGTAATTTGATACCAGGATGACCATCCTGTTCTGACTTTGTTATTTGGGGTGTTACTGACATCTGTTTGCTCTCTTTTGGGTAAAGGCAAGATGCTCCAGATTCTGTCTTCTTGGCCAGCTCTTCTACTGATGTTATATTAGTTTCAGCAACTAAGGAGTTAGAGATAATTCCTGTGTATATAAGGTCAAAAGGAAAGACTTAGCAATTTAATACTGAAGCTAAAAAAATCAATACAGTGAAACAGGAATATCTCCATGACTTCTCAGTGATCCTTATGGATTCCATATGTTAAATAAAGAGTAACTGATTTGGAGTGGGACTTACAACTAGTTTTTCCCACTAAGCCTTGTAGTAATATGCTGCTGCATTAAGCTTCCTCCTAACCAGTCCTCCACACAGCCTTTGGGCCTGTGAGAATGGATCCCTGCTACCCTTTCAATATTCTGAATACATCCCCAGTCTCTTATTCACTCTTGAGGGAGCTCCCCTAGTGACTAGCTATTGGCCTCCTGCCTTCATTCCACACCTTGGGTCAATCCTCCTAACTCATTAGGGTTAACCCACTTGACCTTCTGGTCCCCTTGGACCCAGGGATGACCATATGGCTCTCACCTTGGACGTAGGTGTAAATGTCTTGTGTTAACACAATGTGCATCATAGCCTAAGCACCATAGCAACCAAATGAAGGGAAGGAAATTTGACTGAGACAGATAGATATACTATGGCTGGAGGCTGAGACCCCAAGAGAGGCCAACAGGTGGAAAAAGGCATGAATTCCTGTCTCTCTTTTTTTAATCCTTTAAAGAACACTGCCATATATTATAAACAAATATCTGAATTGTAGCATCATTCTCAGTAAGAGTACCATTGAGTATATATATACTACAACCTTATTCCTAAAAGTAATGGGTTAGTTGGCTGTAATTCCACATGGCTTGATTGTTCCCCAAAGTTCAATCTACTCTTAATGGAAAAAGATTTGTCACCTTTTAAGATTATAAGAGTAATCCATTTTATTTTCTCAAGGTGTCTTCCCCCCAACCCTGTTCATATCACAAATATAATTATATATAATTGTAATTATATTGTAGTATATTGTATATATAATGTGCCACTCAATTTATTTGGCACATTTTTCATAGAAGAATTCTCTAAAGGTCTTGGCCAATGACAGCAATGGTGAACTATGTGAAATGATTCCTGAGATGGCTATGTTTTAAAGATAGAACATGAATTTGGATGTATCCAGGTTGGTGGGCATGTAACAATTAAACACATAACTTAAACTAAAGTACCTCTCCTTTCTGGCTCAGTCTCTCCTGGTAAAGAGCCTCTTGTCTTCTTTCCAAGGAAGCAAGTCACCCTGGTTGAGGATGCTCTGGTGGGAAACCTTTGTTTGGGGTTGGAGCAGTATATTTACTTGTAATAATAGAAATCAATCAGCAGATAATGAAAGCTGAAAGGTCCACACCAGGGAAATCAAGAAGCAAGAGGCATTTCAGTGTACTTAAAATTCTTCTTTCCCTATATGTGTTCCTCAGTGACTTTTGCTTGAGTAACTAGAGGGAATGAATTTAAATACAAAATAGCAGTACCTTCTGTGGTTCTGTTTCGGTCTTGCAAAATATTAAGGACAACTTCCCGCAACTCTTGTATTGGCTAGAAGGAAGAAAATACACGGATGGTATATTAAAAACATTCATGGAAAAAATGACCCAAGGAATTTATGATGTTGTTTAACATCAAATAGACTTTTTATAACAAGAATGTTTCCTTTTTAATCTCTTGTCTAACTATAAGTAACATTTAAAAGGCTTCAGTTTTAGCTTTACAGGAAAAATAAAGGAAGAGAAAAAATATTGGTTTAAATGCTGGCATGCTTGACTTTAATGAAGAGATGAATTCATGGAACGTTGTCTATAATAAAATTTCTTTAAATCAAATTGGGTTTCTTATTGACTGACATGATCCCATCAAAGATGTATTCCCATATCAAGATTCTAATCCAAAGATACAGAACTAAGCTATACAGAAAATCTGATATATGTTTGCAGTGCTGTCTTAACTGAATTTTTGTTTTTATCATGAAAATCATATGTCAATACACACAACTGAACAATAGGTCAAAGTTAAAAAGGAAAACTACCCATAATCCCATCATCTAAATATAACCTTTAGTTAGCTAAATTTTAGACAATTTCCCCCCAGCTTTTCCTTTCATTCTTTTATTTGGTAACATAATATAAAAAAACACTAAACTAAAAGCTATCACAGAAAAGTAATTTTCTGATAAAATTATCTGAGATAGTCTTCCTTTTTTTTTCCCCCTTCCTTTTTAAAGTATGTAAACAATATCATGAAACAGAACATCACAAACAAACTGTACTTTCTCATAGGAACACAGTATTTGGAGGCTGGTCTTCCTGACCTGGGACCCTGTATCAAATAAATAATAGATATAAACTGAAAATAGAGCATAAAAGCAAAGCTGTCTATCCATTTTTACAAAAGCTAAAATGCTTAAGCTAAACGCTTAAGGAAATGGGAATAAATGTACAGAATACATTGCAAAGCATCTTAATTATATAAAACACTCATTAAGTGTATATTTTCATAAGCTTCTGGTTAAAGATGATAGATTGAGTACACAAATATGCCTAATCCCTCTTGAAACTCTTCTGAAATGATTTAAAAAAGGGTTTAAGGAGGCAATAGCCACAGAGAATAGAAGAAATAGCAACAAGAATGTAGAAGAAAGAGGTAACCAGCTTGACCAACAAAAGAGTCAAATTCTATGCTGGCAGTTTGGCTGAGAAAGAATCTGATTCAACCTCAAAGCCTCTGAAAGGCTCAGGAATTGCTGGAGGGCTCTAGAGCATCTGTTAAAAAGCAGTCACACCTGGGAATTGCCTGGCAGTTCAGGGATTAGGACTTGGTGCTTTCACTGCCAGGCCTGGATTCTATCCCTGGTCAGGGAAGATCCTGAAAGCTGGTGGTTTGGCCAATCAGTCAGTAAAAACAATCAGACCTCCAAATCCACCCTGCATCCCTGAACTCCAGGCAGACTGGTGGCTCTGTCCCGCCCACCTTCACCCCAACAGGGCAGCAGGCACATATGCTCCAAGTCTCCAGGTGATGTCATGTAAGACTGAGGGTGGGGGTGTCTGCTGAAAAAAGGGATAAATGAAAGTTTCCAAGCTGAAGATTGAGACTCCCAGCTCCCTTTTCCCCAATAAGGGTAACTGGTAGCCCAGTTCCTGGTTCTCGGGAAAGAAGATGAATGAGCCTTCTTCAGAGAATATGACCAGCCTTAGAGGAAAGACCAGAAGATACCAATACTGGAGGTTCTTCAATCAGCTGACTCAGCCAGATCACTCTGTGGTAAAGCCTCATCTGTGACCAGAGTTTTTAATAAGTTTTGAAAACCTACTTCATACACATACAAACAGTCCAGTTTCACCAGCATCTGAGTAGAGCCTCTAAAGAACAACAGAGAATACAACCAAACAAACACCCCATTCTTCTTTCAAAAAAAGGAGATGAGAGAAGAAAAAGCATTGGAGAAGAGTCAGGCAGTGCAGGAAGAAAAGGTAACTTGATAGTTCTGGTGAAAGGAGATCCCAGAATGACAACTGATAAAGATGGGGGTGAAGAACCACCAGTCCACCACTCACCACAGCCAGAGAAAGCCCGGCAGTGCAGCAGTGAAGACCTAGCATAGCCAAAGGAAAAAAAAAAAGAAGAATAACCCAAGGAAAAGAAATCAACAGAATGTAATGTTTTGAAAGTATTGAAAAATATAGATAATTATAGAAGAGTTTGGAAATACTAAGCAAAGGGAAAACAAGAAAATAATTTCAGGAAAATTAGAAAACCATACTTAAAAGGCAAAGTAACCATAGTATGTACTACATGGATCAGTGTATACGTCTCACCTATTTATGACAATGTGAGCACTGGACAGTGATCAGAATGTCTGTATGATTCTAATGGAAATAGGGAGGACAGTGAAGTCTACAGGGGTGATGGGGTGTCTGTGTGTGTGTGCTGGGGATCTGTGCAGATGTGTGTGAAAAAGAGGGTTAGATCCTCATCCTGCAGAGTTAGAAGTCTACAAATCATGTCTGGAGATAAAAAAAATCAAGAAGTAGTAATATTAGCACATTATCTGAAATTATCAAGGTAACAAAATACTCAGTTTGTTGTCAGTGGGAAATGGGAGGGAAGGGAAATAGGCCTTATGGTATAGACTTTATCAAACTATTTAAACTATGACCATGTAAAACTCTGATTTTGGACAATCATGGAAAAGGTATGGTAGAACATACAATGACACAGAAAGTGATATTATAGGGAAAAGAGTTTTAAGACTATTTGATGAAGTCTTTGTTAAATTATATAGAGACTGGTTTTACTAGGTTTTAGAATTACAAGTTACTTCATGAAATGGCCTTGAATGATTGATCTATGGATATTGATGTGTTGGGTTTAATATATTTTTTAGGTTCTTTACGGTGAGGTATGACTTTCTAAGTATTGGATATTGATGTTATACTATAATTTTCTATGCTGTTGCTTTCCATAAGTGCACATTTCTACAATGAGCATTAAGTGAGACATATTCACTTGACAAGAAAGTGACTCTATTTGTTTACATGTGACAGTATTTTCTAGAAAATAAATATTTTAATTAAAATGTTCACAAAGGACATATTGTACTTCATATTTTGCATATAACTTTATGAAGTAAATTAGAACCTTTATCAATTACATTATATAACTGCCATTTTGCAAACAACACAGAACTCATATGAAAGAGGAATTTTAAGAAGTCACCCACTCAAGACAGATACTTACTGTGGCCCCATTTCTAATGGCCTCTTCGTAGAGCCCAATAACATCAAAGGTGCCTTTGCCTGCCAACAACTTTGCTTTGCAGATCCAAAATTTAGCAAATTTTTCAGCCTCAGGAATACTGGACAAAATGGCAAATACCTCATTAGAAAGTACACCCTGGAAAAAAAGAAAAATACCCAGAGGTAATTGTTATTGTCTTGCTGTTATTTTCACATCTCTTAATACTTACCATAGCAGGTTTGCAGAAATCAGTCTGATAAGTGTTTTTTTTTAATTAAAAATATTCAATTTTATTGAAGTAGTTTATATAAAAAAATGCACCTAATTAAATAGTTTCGAAGAGTTTTTGCACTGATCATTAAATTTTAAGAGTTAAGAGACCAAATAGAAAAATGTTTATCATAGCTCAAAGTAAGAAATTGTTCTACCTGTTTATGCAAAACCAAAACCAAACCAAACCCTAGAGTAATCAACCTTCCATGTATTTTTTACATAGTCATAATAATGCGAACACTGAATAGTGGCCAGAATTTCTGCTTAACAGAAGCGTAAGTGTGTGAAAAGGTCACGGTGTACATGTGTATGTGTCGGGGATCCATGCAGGTATATATGTGTGTGTGTGTGTGTGTGAGTCACTCAGCCGTGTCCGACTCTTCGCAGGTATATATGAAGAAGGTTAAACCACATACAAAGGAACTTTATAATGGCTTCATAGGTTTGGACCCTTTCTGCCTTGTACCAAGAGCAGCGCAGTGACATGGACTAGAAGGGAAACGGGAGCTACTATGCTCACACTGAACCAAGTAGCACCTCCTACTCTTCCTGAGACGGGAAAGACACAGTAATAAGCTCATGGTCAAGAATCACTAATGTCTGAGGAAACCAACACTGCAGGAAAGAGGCATAAAACTCAACAACCAGAAGAACGAACACTGGTGCAAACAGCTGAGGGCACAAAGAGGAATACATTTTAAGAGTGTTGTAGTCAGTATCTTCAGAGTGATAAGAAAATACTGCCATCATAAAACTAGAATCAATGTTATGAAAAAGAATCAATAGATGGGAGGAACAGTGGCATTGCTGAAGAATAAATCAGTGAGCTGAAAATCCAGCTGTGGAATTCTTCCAGAACCCAGTGAAACAGAACAAAGAAATGAAGTATATAGAAGAGTTCTGGAGGACACATCTATACTCTATATTGGATATATTTATTAGATACATCTATATTGGATACATTCCAATATCCATGTAATAGAATTTCTTCAAAGACACAGAGAAAGAACAAAGCTGAACATGCACTGCAGTTATAGAAGAAAATTCCCAAGGACTGAACAGAGAAACAAGTGTTCAGATTGTAAGGTCCCCAGAGAGCTAAGCAAGATGGATGAAAAAAGACCCATACTTAGAAAACCAAGGATAAAAAGAAAATCTTAAATTCTTCCAGAGAGGGGAAAAAAAAAAACCAAGATTACCTACAGAGGAATGAGAGATTGACATGAGACTTTCATAAATCAACAATTCCAGATGCAAGAAAGAAAATGAAACAGTAACTTTCAAATCTTCCAGGAAAAACCATCTGAATTTAGAAATTTCCCCCAGTCAAACTATGAATTCAACATGAAGATGAAATGATGATATTTTTATAAGCATAACAACTCAGAAAGTTTACCATTCAAAAACCATAAAGTTATTAGTGAATGAACTTTAGAATTCAACTGGAAGACTTGAAACAAAAATAGCCACAAGAAGAATATGATATATAATTGCACACCATGTTTAAACTCATACTTAGCACTTTCTTTTGTGATTTCAATTTATATGCTTTCTTTATGAAATAAAAACTGGATCAAACAAAGACATGAATAAAAATAAACCAAAAAATACTGCATGTAAATTGAGTTACTAAATAAAATGGCAGAAATAAAGTTAGACATATACGTAATTAAAATGTACATGGGCTAAATGCACTTTTTAAAAGCAGAGAGTTTTCCATATTTTGTTAGAGAAATTAAACTATGTATTCATATGAGACATACCTTTAAAAATAGAGAGATAGGGAAAGATTTATCAGACAAATTGTAACAACAACAAAGCAGGTGTAGCAAAATTAATATCAGACAAAAGAAAAATCAGAGCAAGTCATGAATCTTTATGCAGTTAACAACATAACTTTGAAAAATAGAAAGTAAACATTGACAGACAAAGTGACATTATGAAATCATAGTGCCAGTAAAAGACTTTGGCATATTTTTTTCAGAGAGCAAAAAAAAAAGCAAGTAAATGAACAAAAAAATAATGGTGCTATTTAAAATTTCTAAGTTTGATCTAATGGATATCCATGTAGAATTTTCTATTCAACTGAGAATACATACACTTTTCAAACACTTTTGGAACATTCACCAAGGCTGATCAGACATTAAGATCAGAAAGAAAATTTCAACAAATTCCATCATCGGCTACATTCACCAACCACAAAGCAGTATAATTAAAAATTGACAGACAAGTAGCCAGAAAAACAAAAACAAACAAAAAACCCAACACCAACAAAACCAACTACATATCTGGAAGTTAAAAGATACTCTTCGAAGGTAACTTCTGGGTTGAAGACCTCAAAAGGAAATATCAAACTAGCAACAAACGAGAACGTGTCAGTTATTGAACTTCAGTGTCTTAGCTCCAAACCCACCTTTTATCCTTTGCTTTGTTGTACAGAATTCTCTAAGTCTATAAATCACTTTCTGTTTTGACAGCAGTTCCCTGATGGGCTCCGCCAGTGTGGGGCAGTAGAGAAAGGCTGCAGGCTGGAGAAGAGGGGACTTCCTCTTTCTAGTTTGCTGTCTTCACCCCACTAACGGTCCTTCACTCTCGCAGCAGCAGTTGGTTCTAGCCTCTACATTTTTTACCCTGGCATGCACGGATCCTGCCTCACTGTGCTCCTTCGGAGGCAAAAGCCCCAACTGGGTAGTTAGCATCCTTTTCTCCAGGTCTGAATCCCAGCCCCACAGGGCCCCTCCTGCAGCTCCTGTGGCACCAGCATCCTAAGAGCTGGAGTCCCATTTACACCAGGGTTTGTCTCTCCCAGCTTCTAGGTTCTGATGTCCCCAACCTCTCTTTGTTCCCCTAGACCCAGTGGATGCTGCTGGCTGCTTCCTGCAGTTATTGCCACTGTTACTGAGATTCATTTCTGCTGTCAGTTCTGTGTGTGGCACCCCTCTCTCCTTTGATGATTCCCTTATCATTTCTGTGCACACAGGCTCACAAAGTACTTTACAGGCAGCATCTGTGCCTCTTTGTGATGTGTCCATGGAGTCAGAAGGGACTGGGCATTTTTGACCCTCAAGGGCAGCCATTAATCAATGACCATGGAATGACTAATGCCACAGTTTCCTTGCCCCGATCAGGACAGCTCTGAGAGATGAGACCTGCGCTGTCTCTGGAGCTCCCAGCTGCAGTGACCCTTCATGAACTCTGCTTGAGACCACACCCTGCCTGCCCTCTTTCCCCTCTGGTCCCATATCCCCAACTCCCCTCCCAGTTGTCCCTTGGAGCCTCTTCCTAGTAAACTACTTCCACACAAATTCTCCTCGTAGGGTCTGCTTCCAGGGAACTCACATAAGACACTGAAAGTGATCTTCATATTACATTCTTTCTACTGAGATTTCTTGTGTTCCTGTTTTCCTGACTTGACTCTTAACTGATATGAAACATTACCTAGTCAAACCTGAAGGATAAGACCAAAGCTAAATTTGGAGGCTAGGCCTTGCCTTTTGACTATAGCTTCACCTCCAAATGTCAAATGTGAACTCTTTGGACCTTGATACACAAAGAAGGCAAAGTTCCTTTTGGATCATTCTGGATCCAGACTGCTTGGGTTAATTTCGCAACTTCTCTAGGCTTCAGCTTCATTTATAAAGTGAATATAGTAATAGTTGTTATGATAATTGTATGAGATAATATAAGTGAAGTGCTTAGAACAGAACCTAGCATACCAGGAGCCATTATTTAAGTATGTATATTATTATGACTATCACTCCTCCTTGTTAAAAGGAGTAGCTAAATTTCTGCTTAGACAGAGGTTGTCTCCCCGAAACTATACTTAAGAAAAGTGTTTAAAAACCCTAAGACTTGGCAAAGCTTTGGAAGATTATCGTTCTCACTCACCCTTTCAATGAGCTGCAGACATTCTGTCAGAGTGCTGTTAATTTTATTGGACAGTTCAAGTTGTGCTTTCTTTTCTTCCTCTTCTTTTTCCATACTCTTCCAGAATGAAATATTCATTTCCTCTATTATTTTTCTTTTTGTTTTAAGCTCCATAGGAGGCCGTTTATAGATTTTCCCCTTAGATTTCCGCCATTCTTCCAATTGTTTCCTGTTATACAATTAAAACAGGGAACGGGTTTAGGGTTTTTTTCTGGTACATGGTTTTAAGATTCTAAAGTATGACGAGCATAGATTAGCACTGCACGCCTTCTACTGCAAAATCGGGAGGATGTTTTAAAAACAAGTTACTAATTGTTACGGAGGCACTGGTTGCTCCCACCCTTCAGAAGGGTAGATGCCAGATGGAGTAGTAAGAATACAACATGTGGTTAGCATCTCCATCTTCAAATTCCTTAATTTCCTGATTGTTATTCAGTCGCTAAGTCATGTCTGACTCTTTGTGACCCAGACTACACCTTGCCAGGCTTGCTTGTCCTTCACTATCTCAATAATTCCCTGATTATTCTTCAATATTATTCCCTGAAAATTTTTATTTCACCTGTATGCTACTTCTGACAATTGCTTTCTCAAGACATCCCTCCATCTTCAAGATCACTAACTCAGCACTCCATTTCTCTTCTCATAAGCTCTGTATCTGCCACTCAACCAGATGTACCAAACCTAAATTCTGCCCTCAGTAGGGTCTTGGCCACTCAAAGTGACCCACTTGGCCCAGTTCCTTAACCCTCTCCTGATGACACAGGACCCCTGCTCCCCCTAACAGGGTCAATAATTTCAGGGCTCCTTTCTTAGGTAGCTAGTCTCTGATGGCACCAAGTCCTAGGCCTCACCCTCCCCACACTGTTCACACTCTGCACCCCTGCTTTGAGGCAGTCCACAGACTACTCTTGGGGGTGGCACCAAAATATGAGGACCCAAGCATCTGCATGTAGGCTCTTCAGCTTCTTTAAATCACAACTACACTTTTATGACTCACAAATGTACATTTCAGCCCAGATCATTCCCTAGGGCCCCAAACTTTGTAAAACCCTCTGCCTAATTGATATCTGTTACTTGATGTCTGGCAGGTATTTAAAATTTAATATCGTCCAAAACAAAGCACTTGATTTTCATCTCTAACTCTCTTCCCAAAGAGCCTTCCCTACATTGGTAAATACTATCCCAACTTACCCAGCTGCTAGGGCCTAAAACTAGGAGTTGTCGTGAGTAGTCCTTTCTTTCCTTGCATCTGACACATCATCATATAGTCAGTACTGCTTCTGTCCCCACTGCTACCATTCTTGGTCCAGTGCACCATCACCTTCTGCCTGGAATGCTGCAGCAAGCCTCCTAAGTCACCTCCTTGCTTCCACTCTAATCCTTTTCAGATTTATCCTGTGCACAGCTGCTGGTGATCTTTACAATGTAAACCAGAGTCACTTCCAGGAACTTCTCATGGCTCTTGGTATAAAATTCAAAATGTTCTCCATGGCCAGAGGCGCAGAGCAATGTGCCCCTGCCTACTCCTCCAGACTCACGTCTCACCACTCTCCTGCTCACTCCCCGCCATCCAGGAGCCCTGGCTTCCTTCCAGTCACCTGACCCAAGCTCATTCCTGTCTCAGGGCCTTGTACTATCAGTCTTTGGTCCTCTACTCAAATGAAACCTCCTTGAAGGGTAATTTTCTATAATTAATCTTATTTAATCAATGTGTTGGTTTTCTATTAATATCTTCTGTACTGGAAAGCAAGGTCTGTGAAGACGGAAACCTTGGATGGCCTAGTGCCTAGCATGGTGTTTGGAACACATTAAGTGTTTAATTACTGTAAAATTCACCTTTTCTGGCACACAGTCCTGTGCGTGTCGACAAATGCATGAATATCATGTCACTGTGACTATAATCAAGATATAACACCCTTAAAGATTCCCTGATATTTCTTGGTGGTCAGCCATGCCACCCACATCCAGCTCCAAGCAATCACAGATCTGTTTGCTGTCCTTACGGTTTTGCTTTTGCCAGAAAATCAACAACTATTAACACTCTTAGAATTTGCCTTTTCTAAAGTAAACTCATTCCCAGGACTTGAAAGCCATAGATTTATTATTCTAGTACTTTCCATATACACACCAGAAAAAAACCATTCCCTGAAAGTAGACTGTGACCGTGTGCACACCACTGTATCTCTCAGTGCCTGACACATTGTAGGTAATGAAGGAACACTCCAGGAATGAGTGAAGATCTATTCCCTCTAAGGACTCCTCCTTTTTTGGTCATCAGTGCTGGCCAATTGTAATCAGACTATCTTATGTTCCACTGTAGGTTATGTGGTCTAGACTGTGAGCTCCAGGGTAGGGACCCTGACCTCCTTGTTCACCAGCTCCAGGTCTTTGCATTCAGTTTTCTCTCTATTAAGAAGACTTGTCTTTCTTCTGGTTACTGTCATTTTCCCAGCCCAGTTGTCACTGTTGAAAGTACCTCCCCTGACCCTTCTATCTAAAAAAATCATCCCGGCCTCCCTTTCTCAATCACCTCACCCTGAATCAAGTTGTTTATTTTCTGTTTCTTCAGGGGGCAGAGAGCTTGTCAGTTGTGCTCAGGGCTATATTAGAAAATAAATCCTGCCCTCACTTCGCTCTGCTACACCTTTTGGCTACCATCTTATTTTATGTGGTCCTTTCACCCTTGCCAAGAATCTCCTTATTTTCTACTCCAACCAAGTGTACCAAGGTGCTTCTCCTGGGATGTTCACCACATCATGAGAATATATATGGTCCTGTGCAGAAAGTGTATGAAATCCTTTGGCTCAGTTTCAAGCATCACCTATGTTAATGCCTGAGGTCCTGATTTCTACCATCTGAACTCTATGTGAACTGCTTACTTCTTTCTGCTTCAGTTTACTTTCCAAGAAACTTGGCCTGCTCAGACTCATAGAAGCTTCCTTCTTCCCTGATAACCTTTCTGCCTTTACGCACTAGTTCGCTTGATGAAGGATTACCATCTCTGCACTTCCTATCTATGCAAGTTCACTACTCTGGCTCCTCCCACCTTGCCTCTGTTCTGTCCCCGTGGGGCACTTCCTGCATGAATAGTCTACCTCTGCAACCCCTACTTCTTGGTCAACTATTTTGCTTGAATTTCTTTTTTTAAAAAAGAAATTAAAAAGAAAAAAATTAAAAGGAAAATAAAAAATAAATTATTTCAAGCATACAGAAGGTTACAGAGAACAATCTCCACCCAGCTCTATCAAGTCTTAATATTTGCTTTGAATTTTTAAGAGAGATAGCTAAAAATTACCCAGGAGCCATTATTTATGACCCATTTCCTGACTTTAGCACTCTTGATGGTCAATTTGCCTAGCTATCTTAATTTGCAAAACTCTGGAATTAAAATAAAGTACCTTCGATCCTCTGCTGCGATCTTCTGACGTGGATTAGTTTGCGCCCCATCTGGGACTCCTCTTCCACTTACGGTTGGGCCACCAGCTTGAATCCGGGGAGCTGTCTTGTTTAGAAAACAATTCTGGGGAGGAGCGCTTTTGAACTTGGAGTCCAAAGTCTGTGCTCTTTGCTGACAGCTGGTGTTGCATTTATTCCCAGTGGTTCCATTTGCTCTGATGCTAGGGGTGTTTGGAATGATGGAGTTAAGGCCGCCAACAGTCAAATTTGGCCTTTGGCTTATGGCTTTTGATTTCTGCAGTGCATATGATGTCTGAGGTCTACAACAAACCTGAGTGGGTTTATGATCTTGCTTAATGTTTGGATGTCTGTGGCTACATCCTCCTTGAAGCACATTGGGGTGCGTACTGGGTTTGCTGTGTTTTACTTTCTGCTCAGTAACAGTGTATGACTGTAACGTAGTTTCATTTGGTCTTTCATACTTACCTCTATTACCCTTTACAGCCTTTATGTCCTTAACCACTGTTTTCTTTGTGGCTTGAGATCTATTAAGTGTCTGGACAAAGTGAGAGGGGAGGGTTTTGGGGGGTTTCCCCCCTGGTCTTATAAGGTCTGCTCCTCTAGAGAGTTTTTGAGACTTCCCTGGTAGAACCCTGGTTTGTGTTTCTTCAACAAATGGTTTCCTAACTTTCTGTGTCAGAGCAGCACTGTTCCCTGAGCTTTTGCCCAAGACTTCTCTGGGAGGAGCCAAAGTGCTTTTAGTTTGATTTGTTTTGGGCTTATTTATGGTCCAGGATTCAGGATTTGGCTTCCTTTCAGAGTCTGGTAAGTCTTGGGGCAAGTTCTCTTTATTCATCTCCTTTAGACAGCCACCCAGGGATTCATTTTCAACATGCGTATTGTCCACAGGGTCTGTACGTTTAGCAATTCTTTGATCTGTTACCTGCTGCTTTGTAGTTTTCAGTTCCTGTATATTAAGTGATCCCATGGTTTCTCTTGGCTGTTCTCCATCAGTGGACGATCCAAATCCATGCAGCTGTTGACTACTGCCAGGAGGCTTACCGTTTGGGTTAGAAGAAACACTTTCTGAAGTGAGCCTTTTACCTAGTTTTGGTGGCTCCAACTTTGGTCTCTGAGACCTGGTGATATTGGCAGGTCTGGACTGCAGTGTAATGCTGATGGATCTTGTAGCTTTGACTGGCAAGGCAACATGGTTGGTAACATCCTTTTTGGGTCCAATAGTCTAAAAAGACAAATAAAGGTAAAAACATTAGTCCATTGTTTTTAAAGTAAAAAAAAAACCAATTAGTTATTTTGTTTATAACTTAAGAAAATTGATCCTGACAAAACAAAGACTCACTAATAGATGACTTTTATAACTTGAGTTCCTATTAGAAATATATTAGAATCCTTTAGCTTGATAGAATTAAGCAGAGATGCAGTGAACACACAAATATTGCTGTTTAACAAAATAAACAAGTACTTGCTGAGTGTTCATTATGTCCCAATGAAGTATCCTTCCTGGAATTCCAGAAAGATACATACATAATAAACTTATGTTAGGGTACCTCCTGAGTTCCTCCTCATACCTTCTTTTGTTTTTTTGTCTTGGATGCATCAAGAGGCAAGTGGGATCTTAGTTCCGTGACTAGGGATTGAACCCGCATACCCAGCAGAGGAAGTGCGGAGTCTTATTAACCTCTGAATCACCAGGGAAGTCCCTTCCTAGTACTTTCTATTGCTATACTAATTCTCTTAACACTGCCTTTGAAAGGTCAGAGTGTCACTTAAGGAACACTGTCTCATCCTGGAGACTAGTGGTATGGAGTGGTGGGAGATGCTGGCAGGCCTGAGATACTTTGAGACAGCTCTGAATAAGCATCAAACATCTCAGTAGAAAGTGAATCATATTTGTGAAGTTAGGACAGGGTTTTAAGGTTAGATTCTACATTATTCATAAGTAAATACTTCAGTCATGTGACTTAATTTTGGATAAGAAAGGGAGGACTAGGTAGCAGAAAACTGAAAACTAGGGAGCGGTGTTTAGAATTAATATGGTAAATAACAGGAACAGGCCACTGAGGATTCTACAGCATCCACATTGAAAGCAATTACTTAGAAAGGAGAATTTGTCAGAGATTTACTGACTATCTAGGGAAAGATATGTCAGTGCTAGAGCTATGACTTTCTGTTTTTGGTTTGGTAATATGATGAATAATTACTATGTAAGTTTCATGAATGTGTAACCAGAACCACTTGGCATTAAGGGCAAAGACTAATTTCTACTTACAGATTTAGAAGGCGGAGGATTTGGGCAATTATTCTTGGCTTTCAGGTAAGGCCTAAAAAAGATGAAATAAGATTAATTCTTAGTATAGAAGAATCAGCAAGGCTTGGGAGTACAGTGATTAAAAATATTAAAAATTATTGTGGTTATAATTTTAAATCTTTAGAATTTCCATGTGGCTAAAAAATTCAAAAATTATAATTAATAAAAAGTCTCCTTATCATCCTTCCCTTAGTCCTATTATTCCACTCCTTGGTGATCATGACCACTCTTACCTATTTTATTTCTGTGATCCTTTCATAGATGTCCTATGCATAGATACAGCATTCTAACAATATTAATAAAATATGTTTTCTTCATATCTGCATAGTCTTACTCATTTAAACATCATTCCCTGAACACTGCAATGTGCCAGGCACTAGAGATTCAACGCCAAATAAGATAAATCCTTCTTTAAAAAGCGTGTTTGTCGTATATTATCTAGGGTGAAACAGTTCACCAGCCCAGGTTGGGAGCATGAGACACGTGCTCGGGCCTGGTGCACTGGGAAGACCCAGAGGGATTGGGTGGAGAGGGAGGTGGGAGGGGGGACCGGGATGGGGAATACATGTGAAAAAAAAAAAAAAAAGATACACTATGGTTGTGATAAAAAATAAATAAATAAATAAATTAAAAAATAAATAAATAAAAAAATAAAAAAACTAAAAAAAATAAAAAAGCGTGTTTGTTTTCTGAGTCTGTTTCGCAAATAAATTCATTTGTATTAAATCAGCTATACTTCAACTTAAAATAAAAAAACTTGCTTGTTTTTTAAGTGTCTTCAACTAGTTAATTTTTAGGTGAGGAAAGTGATATAAATAAAAGAACATAGAGGCACACATGAAAACTAATGAGACAGAAAACTTAAAAAAAAAAAAAGATAGATAAGTAGAGGATAATTTAGATTCAAACTTCACAGATCATAAACTGCCAAACAGGAACTTTGATCAAGACTTGATATTTGTTTCTCTGGTCTTGGATGCACATCCCAGGAGGGCAGGGACTGCTTTGTTTTGGTAAGCACCTTATCTCTAGAACCAAGAGTGATTGATACATTATAGGTATTAAGTAAATTGTTGAATAAATGAATTAAGTTTTTTTATTTAATCAAGGAAATCACGTCAAGTAAAAACTCAAAGTAAAAGAAGGCAAGAATATACAATGGAGAAAAGACAGTCTCTTTATTTTTATTTTTTTCCAGAGTTAGTTTTATTTATTTATTTTTTCCATTTATTTTTGTTAGTTGGAGGCTAATTACTTTACAATATTGTAGTGGTTTTTGCCATACATTGACATGAATCAGCCATGGATTTACATGTGTTCCCCATCCCGATCCCCCCTCCCACCTCCCTCCCCATCCCATCCCTCTGGGTCTTCCCAGTGCACCAGCCCTGAGCACTTGTTTCATGCATCCAACCTGGGCTGGTGATCTGTTTCACCCTTGATAGTCTACTTGTTTCAATGCTGTTCTCTCTGAACATCCCACCCTCGCCTTCTCCCATAGAGTCTAAAAGTCTGTTCTGTACATCTGTGTCTCTTTTTCTGTTTTGTATATAGGGTTATCATTACCATCTTTTTAAATTCCATATATATGCATTACTATATTGTATTGGTCTTTATCTTTCTGGCTTACTTCACTCTGTATAATGGGCTCCAGTTTCATCCATCTCATTAGAACTGATTCAAATGAATTCTTTTTAATGGCTGAGTAATATTCCATAGTGTATATGTACCACAGCTTCCTTAGCCATTCATCTGCTGATGGGCATCTAGGTTGCTTCCATATCCTGGCTATTATAAACAGTGCTGCGATGACACATGGGGTGCATGTGTCTCTTTCAGATCTGGTTTCCTTGGTGTGTATGCCCAGAAGTGGGATTGCTGGGCCATATGGCAGTTCTTTTTTTTTTTCCATTTATTTTTATTAGTTGGAGGCTAATTACTTTACATCATTGCAGTGGTTTTTGTCATACATTGAAATGAATTAGCCATGGATTTACATGTATTCCCCATCCCGATCCCCCCTCCCACCTCCCTCTCTACCCGATCCCTCTGGGTCTTCCCAGTGCACCAGGCCTGAGCACTTGTCTCATGCACCCAACCTGGGCTGGTGATCTGTTTCACCCTAGATAATATACATATTTCGATGCTGTTCTCTTGAAACATCCCACCCTCGCCTTCTCCCAGAGCATATGGCAGTTCTATTTCCAGTTTTTTAAGGAATCTCCACACTGTTCTCCATAGTGGCTGTATTAGTTTGCATTCCCACCAACAGTGTAAGAGGGTTCCCTTTTCTCCACACCCTCTCCAGCATTTATTGCTTGTAGACTTTTGGATAGCAGCCATTCTGACTGGTGTGTAATGGTACCTCACTGAGGTTTTGATTTGCATTTCTCTGATAATGAGTGATGTTGAGCATCTTTTCATGCGTTTGTTAGCCATCTGTATGTCGTCTTTGGAGAAATGTCTGTTTAGATCTTTAGCCCATTTTTTGATTGGGTCATTTATTTTTCTGGAATTGAGCTGCAGGAGTTGCTTGTATATTTTTGAGATTAATCATTTGTCTATTTCTTCATTTGCTATTATTTTCTCCCATTCTGAAGGCTGTCTTTTCACCTTGCTTATAGTTTCCTTTGTTGTGCAAAAGCTTTTAAGTTTCATTAGGTCCCATTTGTTTATTTTTGCTTTTATTTCTAATAATCTGGGAGATGGGTCATAGAGGATCCTGCTGTGATTTATGTTGGAGAGTGTTTTGCCTATGTTCTCCTCTAGGAGTTTTATAGTTTCTGGTCTTACACTTAGATCTTTAATCCATTTTGAGTTTATTTTTGTGTATGGTGTTAGAAAGTGTTGTAGTTTCATCCTTTTACAAATGGTTGACCAGTTTTCCCAACACCATTTGTTAAAGAGGTTGTCTTTTTTCCATTGTATATTCTTGCCTCCTTTGTCGAAGATAAGGTGTCCATAGGTATGTGGATTTATCTCTGGGCTTTCTATTTTGTTCCATTGATCTATATTTCAAGACAGCCTCTTTAATAAGTGGTACTTGGAAAACTGGACAACTACATGTAAAAGAATGAAATTAGAACACTTCCTAACACTACACACAAAAATAAACTCAAAGGGACTTCCTTGGTGGTCCATCGGTTAAAACTCTGCTTCCAATGCAGGGGGCGTAGGTACAATTCCTGGTTGGGGGAACTAAGATCCCATATGCCATATGGCTCAGCCAAAAAAAGAAAAATAAAAAAACTCAAAATTGGATTAAAGATCTAAATTTAAGGCCAGAAACTAATAAACTCTTAGAGGAAAACATAGGCAGAATACTCTTTGACATAAATTTCAACAAGATCCTTTTTGACCCACCTCCTGAAGTAATGGAAATAAAAATAAACAAGTGGGACCTAACTAAACTTAAAAGCTCTGGCACTGCAAGGGAAAGTATAAACAAGATGAAAAACTCAAAGTAAAAGGAAGCTAAAACAAAGGCTGAAAGCTAACTTTGTAAAAATTCATTTTCAACTAAAAATTTAGCAACACATTGGGGAGAAAAACATATCAGTGCTAAGGTAAGTGTGGTGACACCACTGAGATGACAAGATGTTGACAAAAGAGAAAAGTGAGGCCGTCATATTCTGTTCACCTCCACAGTCAGTACTAAGAGGAAGACCCAACCATACTCTCAGGCTAGAGGATGGGGATGTGCAGTTTACAGAGGAGGGATTATATAACTGGCTCTCGTTTTAGAAAGCAGCACCAGGATCAGGACCATCCCTCTCCCAGCAAACAAAGCAGAGATGGGAGAAGCTTCCAGCATTGTAGGTGCTACTGTAGACCCTTCTCTCTCACCTTGGGAGACTCACAATAATAATGCTTTAATCTTTGCCAACATTTTTATCACACCTGCACCAAAATGCCCTTTTTGAATAATCCTAGGATCCTAATACAGTCTGAGCAGACTGCAAACAAACGGGTTATGTTTTGGCAGAGTTTTAAATTGCCATTAGCAACCAGGGCACCAGAACTTGCATAACTGTGGGAGACAGACTCACTTGGTGTTTTGGCACTTCAGTTTTCCCTTGGCTGCTAGGTACTCCTGCAGCTTTCTCTGCCGCTCTTCTGCAAAACAAGCAAGCAAACAATAGAATTTTAGCTCAAGATTTTAACAAGCTCATTTATATTCTAAAGGAAGGCACTTTTCTGTATTGATTTTGGTGTTGGACCATAATGTTTTAAAGTCCCTAGCACTACAGACTTGCCTCCAGGTTCACATCCACATTGACAATAAAATTTGTATGACTCATTTTATGCTAAGCTCTTTACACTTACATTACTTCCTTTAATCTTCAAAAAAATCCTATAAGGTATTTTACAGTCTGAAATTTAAACATGGATACAGGCTATACAGGGAATTTCCTGGTGGTTCAAGCAGTAAAGAATTTGCCTGCCAATGCAGGAGATCCTGGTTTGATCCCTGGGTCAGGAGGATCCCCGGGAGAAGGAACTGGCAACCCACTGCAGTATTCTTGCCTGGGAAATCCTATGGACAGAGGAGCTTGGTGGGCTACCTTCCATGGGGTCGCAAGAGTCAGACATGACTTAGCAATTAAACAACAACAAAATGGTATACAAAGCCAGACTTTGAAACCAGGTTTATTCAACCCAGAGCCCTTGCTCAGAGCCACTGTTCTCAGCTACAACCTATCAAGCTTTGCATGAAGAAATGCTATTACTGGCCCACCTGGGCTGGTGAGCTCAGGGCTTGTTTTATTAATCCCTTCTGACAGGAATGATGATTTTTGCCCACAAACCCTTTCTTTTGGAACGAAGGACAAAATAGGCTAGGCTGGAGGTTCATCGCAAACATCTATCCATATAGTGCCTTTCTTTCTAAGCAAGCCATCTGTGAGGGGATGAAAAGTCAGTATTTCTCTCTTCGAGAAGTTTCAACCTGGTAGTGGTGATAAAAGCGGGTCAAAAAAAGAACTATGGGAGTCCAGGGCAGGAACTGAGTGAGGGGAGTGGGCGATTGGAAAAGGCTAAAATTAAGATGGTTGTGGCACTGAAAAAGACCTTTGGGAGTCTCTTGGACATCACGGAGGTCAAACCAGTCAATTCTAAGGGAAATCAACCCTGAATAATCATTGGAAGGACTGATGCTGAAGCTAAAGCTCCAATACTCTGGTCATCTGATGCAAAGAACCAACTCATTGGAAAAGACCCTGATGCTGGGAAACATTGAAGGCAGGAGGAGAAGGGGACAACAGAGGATGAGATGGTTGGATGGCAACACCAACTCAATAGACATGAGTTTGAGTAAACTCCAGGAGACAGTGAAGGACAGGGAAGCCTGGCGTGCTGCAGTCCATGGGGTCGCAAAGGGTCAGACATGCCTAACGGCCAAACAAAAACAACAGCTGTAGAGGGTGCAAAACAACTCAATCTCATTTAAACTGAGTCGCGCTGTGTTTTGATATTTGGTTCTGATCCTTCCCCAGGAGACAGCTGTGTCGAGAGGACTGATGGAGTTGAGAGATGTGGCTGGAATCCCAGTTCTATGATGTCTAGCCAGTTAGCAAACCTTGCTGTTGCTGAGCAGATAAAATGGGGCAGAAATGCCCATTTTTAAGGGCTGTTGTGTAAAATGCCTAAGACAGTGCCTGGGCCCTGGGAGACAGTCGACAGGTATTGTTGCAGAAATTAACAAAACATTGTGCATTTTGGAGCAGGTGACAGATATCTGAGCGGGAATATTTAAAAAGTCAACAAAGGGCTCCAGACACATTTAGGAAGTCAGGGAGCCCAGGACCCTCAGCATCATGCAGATTGAACCCATCAGCTTCCAGGGCGCGTGTGTTGCAAGACCTCCGCGTCTGGGTGAGACCCGCCTTGACAGCTGTCACAGTCAGCTTGGGCGGGCGGCGTAGCCCCGAGGGCCACACCCCGGCTCCTCCTGAAGCCAAATCTAGGCCGCTGGAGCGCTTGGCTTTCCACTGGTTGTGCGATCTCGGGCAAGGACCCTCGGTTCTTTCCCAAACGAGGTGACAATGGCAGCTTTTTGCAGAGCTGCTGAGGGACTCTTTGGGAGGGTGCCTGGGAGGTGTGGCCCCGCGCACAGCCTCCCAGAACCCCAGCCGCGTTTTCTCACCGAGGCCTGGAGCGTGGGCTTGAGTCAGCCCCCGCTGAACCAAAAACGCCCACGGGGAGACAGAGGCAGGCAGGCAAGCGATCGGGTCACTTCCGCAGAAAGGACTCACCCGGGGTCCTCCCTTCGTCCCCGCCCGTAATACACAGCTGCTGGAGGTCATACTTACCAGCAGCGGCGGAGAGTCCAGGCCGCACCATGATTCTCAAACGACAGTTTTTCTTCAAAGGCCGCGCCTGGAGAGAAAGCCGGAGCGCCGCGCTTGCGTCCGCTCTCATTGGCTCCCGTGGGTTTGAAACATGCCAATCGGAAGCCTGGGAGGGCGGGCCCAAAGGAAATAGGTGCATTTCGGTTGGCTATACCCTTCAAGCCCCACCCTGGGGCCATTTGATTGGAAGAATGTACAGGGAAAGAGCCGTTGGCATTGAAGACGGCGGGTTGGGCGGGAGGCGGAGCCCTCCCCACCCCTTTAAAGATGAGGTTTCTGGGTTGCTGTGCTTTCAGTTACGAGAAAGGTGGCCAGGAGTGGCGACAGGGCGTGGGGTGCACCCGGGCCCCACAGACAAAGCTCCTCCTCCGCCCTTTCAGATTCTAAGGTTCGTATAAAAATAGTATAAAACCAAATTGATGAATTTGGCAGCTCCTCACGAGTATACGTCCTACTTTTTATGGGTCTCTGAAGTTAAATTATCTTAGTTCTTAGTACAGCAGTTCCTGGGTGCTCAGTCGCTTAAATCGTGTCTGACTCTTTGCGACCCTGTGGGCTGTAGCCCGCCAGGCTTCACTGTCCATGAGATTCTGTAGGCAAGAATACTGGAGTGGGTTGCCATTTCCTCCTTCAGGGGATCTTCCCCACCCAGAGCTCAAACCCGCGTCTCTTAGGTCTCCTGCTTGGCAGGATTCTTTGCTATTAGCGCCGCCTGGGAAGCCCTAGAACTGAAGGGTGGCTCCTCTTTGTTTTTTATTATGGTAAGATATACAAAGCAAAGCTTACCATTTAAGTCATTTTTAAGTGTACAATTCAGTGTCATTAAATACATTTACAATGTTGTACAATTATCATCACTGTAAAAAATTAATAATTTTAAATAAAATTTAATAAATTATAAATTTATAAATTTTAATAATAAAATTAATAATAGGATCCCCCAATAGATTAGGGTCACTCGAACACAATTCTGTCTCAATCTCTGTGGGGTCTCTGGGTCCTGGTGTGCACAAGGTTTTTTTGAACCCTCTGAGCATCTCTGGTGGGTGTGGGATTTGATTCTAAGGGATGATTTTGCCCTTCCTACAGTCTTTCTGGGGCTTCTTTGCAATTGGACATGGGGTAGCTCCTCAAAGTCGCTCCAGCACCCTGCAGCCACTGTTCCACTGCTGTGCAGCTGCCACTCCAGTGTAGTGGTGTGTGCATGGGACCTTTTGAAGGAGGTCGCCATTATCCTCATTACCTCCACCATAGTTTGGCACCAAGTAAATAAAAGGAAGGGAACTCAGCCCCACCCATCAACAGAAAATTGGATTAAAGATTTACTGAGCATGGCCCTCCCCATCAGGACAAAATCCAGTTTCCCCCAATCAGGAAGCTTCCATAAGCCTTTTACCTTTCTCCATCAGAGGGCAGACAGACTGAAAACCACCATCCCAGAAAACTAACCTATGTAATCACAAGGACCATATCCTTGGTCTAACTCAGTGAAACTATGAGCCATGCCGTGTAGGGCCACCCAAGATGGACGGCTCATGGTGGAGAGCTATGACAAAATGTGGTCCACCGGAGAAGGGAATGGCAAATCACTTCAGTATTCTTGCCTTGAGAACCCCCTGAACAGTATGAAAAGGCAAAAAGATAGGACACTGAAAGATAAACTCCCCAGGTTGGTAGGTGCCCAATATGCTACTGGAGATCAGTGGAGAAATAATCCCAGAAAGAATGAAGAGATGGAGCCAAAGGAACAACAACACCCAGCTGTGGATGTGATTGGTAATGGAAGTAAAGTCCGATGCTATGAAGAGCAATATTGCGTAGGAACCTGGAATGTTAGGTCCATGAATCAAGGCAAATTGGAAATGGTCGAAGAGGAGATGGCAAGAGTGAATGTTGACATTTTAGGAATCAACGAACTAAGATGGACTGGAATGTGTGAATTTAACTCACATGACCATTATATCTAATACTATGTGCAAGAATCTCTTAGAAGAAATGGAGTAGCTATCATAGTCAACAAAAGGGTCTGAAATGCAGTACTTGGATGCAATCTCAAAAACAACAGAATGATCTCTGTTTCCAAGGCAAACCATTCAATATTACAGTAATCCAAGTCTATGCCCTGACCAGTAATGCTGAAGAGCCTGAAACTGAATACTTCTATGAAGACCTATAAGCCCTTCTAGAACTAACACCTCAAAAAGATGGCCTTTTCATTGTAGGGGACTGGAATGCAAAAGTAGGAAGTCAAGAGATACCTGGAGTAACAGGCAAATTTGGCCTTGGAGTACAGAATGAAGCAGGGAAAGGCTAATAGAGTTTTGCTAAGAGAACACACTGGTCATAGCAAACATCCTCTTCCAACAACACAAGAAAAGACTCTATTCATGGACATCATTAGATGGCCAATACTGAAATCAGATTGATCATATTCTTTGCAGCCAAAGATGGAAAAGCTCTATACAGTCAGCAAAAACAAGACTGGGAGCTGACTGTGACTCAGATCATGAACTCCTTATTGCCAAATTCAGATTTAAATTGAAGAAAGTAGGGAGAACCACTTGACCATTCAGGTATGACCTAAATCAAATCCCTTACGATTATATAGTGGAAGTGAGAAATAGATTTAAGGGATTAGATCTTATAGACAGAGTACCCGAAGAACTATGGATGGAGGTTCATGACATTGTACAAGAGACAGGGAGTAAGATCATCCCCAAGGAAAAGAAATGTAAAAAGGCAAAATGGCTGTCTGAGGAGGCCTTGCAAATAGCTGTGAAAAGAACAGAAGTGAAAGCAAAGGAGAAAAGGAAAGATATACCCATTTGAATACAGAGTTCCAAAGAATAGCAAGGAGGGATTAGAAAGCCTTCCTCAGTGATCAGTGCAAAGAAATAGAGGAAAACAATAGAATGGGAAAGACTAGAAATCTCTTCAAGAAAATTATAAATACCAAGGGAACATTTCATGCAAAGATGGGCACAATAAAGGACAGACATGGTATGGACCTAACAGAAGCAGAAGATATTAAGAAGAGGTGGCAAGAATACATAAAAGAACCATACAAAAAAGATCTTCACGACCCAGATAGTCACGATGGTGTGATCACTCACCTAGAGCCAGACATCCTGGAATGTGAAGTCAAGTGGGCCTAAGGAAGCATTACTACAAACAAAGCGAGTGGAGGTGATGGAATTCCAGTTGAGCTCTTTCAAATCCTAAAAGATGGTGCTGTGAAAGTGCTGCACTCAATATGTCAGCAAATTTGGAAAACTCAGCAGTGGCCACAGGACTGGAAAAGGTCAATTTTCATTTCCAATCCCAAAGAAAGGCAATGCCAAAGAATGCTCAAACTACCGCACAATTGCACTCATCTCACATGCAACAAAGTAGTGCTCAAAATTCTCCAAGCCAGGCTTCAACAGTATGTAAACTGTGAACTTCCAGATGTTCAAGCTGGTTTTAAAAAAGGCAGAGGAACCAGAGATCAAATTGCCAACATCTCTTGGGTCATGGAAAAATCAAGAGTGTTCCAGAAAAACATCTACTTCTGCTTTAATGACTATGCCAAAATCTTTGACTGTGTGGATCACAATAAACTGTGGAAAATTCTTGAAGAGATGGGAATACCAGACTACCTGACATGCCTCCTGAGAAATCTGTATGCAGGTCAGCAAGCAACAGTTAGAAATGGACATGGAACAGACTTTTCCAAATCAGGAAAGGAGTATGTCAAGGCTGTATATTGTCACCCTGCTCATTGAACTTATATGCAGAGTACATCATGAGAAACGCTGGGCTGGATGAAGCGCAAACTGGAATCAAGATTGCTGGAAGAAATATCAATAACCTCAGATATGCAGAGGACACCACCCTTATGGCAGAAAGTGAAGAAGAACTAAATAGCCTCTTGATGAAAGTGAAAGAGGAGAGTGAAAAAGTTGGCTTTAAAGCTCAACACTCAGAAGACTAGGATCATGGCATCTGGTCCCATCACTTCATTGCAAATAGATGGGAAACAGTGGAAACAGTGAGAGACTTTATTTTTGGGGGCTCCAAAATCACTGCAGATGGTAACTGCAGCCATGAAATTAAAAGACACTTGCTCCTTGGAAGAAAAGTTATGACCAACCTAGATGGCATATTAAAAAGCAGAGACATTACTTTGCCAACAATATTCTGTCTAGTCAAAGATTAGGTTTTCCCAGTAGTCATGTATGGATGTGAGAGTTGGACTACAAAGAAAGTTGAGTGCTGAAGAATTGATGCTTTTGAACTGGGGTGTAAGAGAAGATTCTTGAGAGTCCCTTGGACTGCAAGGAGATCCAACCAGTCCATCCTAAAGGAAATCAGTCCTGAATATTCATTGAAAGGACTGATGCTGAAGCTGAAACTCCAACACTTTGGCCACCTGGTGTGAAGAGCTGACTCATTTGAAAAGACCCTGATGCTGAGAAAGACAGGAGGAGAAGGGGACAACAGAGGATAAGATGGTTGGATGTCATCACCAACTCAATGGACAAGAGTTTGAGTAAACTCAGGGAGTTGGTGATGGAGAGGGAAGCCTGGTGTGCTGCAGTCCATGGGGTTGCAAAGAGTCAGACATGACTGAGTGACTGAACTGAACTGAACTGAGGCTCACCCACTTTCCAATAGCGGTAAACTGAATCATCTTGAATTACTCCTTCCCTATTAATTCCCACATCTAATTCCAAGATCTCTTGATTTCAACTTTTTCCAACTCAACATACTTTGTATGCATGCTTTCCAAAAGGATTCATTAGTCTTTAATGTGGTTCTGAATGTGTGAATTTGTATAAACACATGAACACACATGCTGTGTTTAATACAAGTTTTAAATGAACCATGGGAATATTATCATTCCTAATGCCATTTATGCATACTGAGAAGCTACCAAAGAGGAGAGAAAAAGCATAAAATCTGGGTTTAGTTTTGTAAAATGACACTAATTATAGTTATTTTTATGAACTCTTATCACCTGTTCCTAATTATGCCATGAAGTAAACTAATGGTTAAAATGTGCCAGATTTATTTTTTTAAGCTTTATGTCAGTTCTCATTGTTGATGATAATGTAATGCTATGATTGGATCACAACCTTTGGAACCTAGCAGGAACATTGCTTATGTTCCAGAATAAAAAGTTTAGATAATGCTTGTTTCATGGTTGCCAAAGTTAAGTTCATCCCATTTTAGCTAGTAGGATTCAATAGCAGATGAAACTGAATAACACAAGAATGCCAAATCAAGTTTAAAGGCAGAGGAGTGAAAGATTTTGGCCAATTACCATCTCAGACAAACAAAGTAATTAATATAAATTTATTATCATAATCACAGGGCTCCCAGGTACTGAAATACAGAAGTTCATGACAATGGAAAAGGCACAACTTGAACCAAAGTGCATTAGTACCTCAAACACACTCAGCCTGGAAAACACTGTCTACTATTATTGAAGATACCTGGTCATACTCAGAGATCGCAAGGATTGCCATAAATATAAATATAATTGCCATAAATATACTAATATGTTAGAAATAATAATATCTTAGAAATAATGGTTATAAATATATATGCATATATAAATAATAACAAAACAACATTTCATGCTTTGAATTCTTCTTGAGGCTCAGCTTCAAGAAAAATTTTACTTAAATGAACTCATTGGCATAAAATACTATTGAGGTAGGAGGACTATAGTCATCATTACCTTGATTTTGAAGATGGTCAAACTGAGACCCCAGAAACTTACAGTATTTGATAAAGGGCCCATCAGCGGCTTAAAAGTAGAAGCTGAGCAGTTGGAATGAAAATTGTGTGTCCATGGCTTATTTCAACTGCTGTCATGGGTATTAATATTCTTATGCCTTAGTTTACTCATCTATAATGTGGAAAGAACCTTTTGTAGCCACAGATAGTAGCCTCAGTCTTCCCAAGATTCTTGTGCAGAATAATAATTAAATTGATTGGTAGTTTGCAAAGGATAGGGTGTTCTTTAAATAACAAGCAACATTATATGTTAGTGTTGGTTCTACTGGACTTTGTGTTCTCTCTTACAAAGAGAGTAAACATTCATTTCGAATTACAAAGGCTCAGCACATGCTCAGCAAGTGACTAACAGTGAAGGATTCGACTCCTTCATGTACATAGTACATACGGATGGTTCACCACTTTACAAGTAAGTAGAGTGCACAATCAAGGCTATTTTTCCAATATCTGAAAGTCAGTGATCGAGGGTGGCCCGCTTGCCATGTGCACCAGCTTTTCTTGCTTTGTGGCAATAAACAACTTTGGATGGGCAACTGATTTGAAGTAGTCCATAGAGCCATGCTTTTCCCAGAAGAAGAGGAGATTGGTCTCATCTTTGATGATTTTGGGTGTCTCAGGCATCTCCTAGGATACAGAGAACAAAGATATGTTAGAGAACAAGACGATGCTAAAAAAAGAAGTGACCTCAATCCTTTGGCATTTGTCCTTCATGCGAAACACAGCACTTTAGGACTATGACTACATAACATGATGATACAAGTTCTTCATTCATTTGTTCATTCCAAAAGCGTTCATTACATGCCTATTAGATGTATGGCCCCGTCTATTCATAATAATTAATTTCCTTAGTTAAGTGGAGAGAAATCCAATTTCATCATGAAGATTGTCAAGTACACTAGTGTCTTCTTGTATCCTGGCAGGTAGGGTGAAACATTGCCTCCAACAGGGGCATAAAGCATTCTGCATCAAATCTGAGCATGAATGACTCTAAGACCTGAAAACCTTTTGACCTCTAAATGTTCAAAGCATACTTTGGGAAAGTAATTTAGAACTCAGACATGTTTATCTCTGTATTTAAGTCAACAATTAAAGGTAAAAAGAACCCCACCCCAACACATACAACTTCCCAAGCATATCAGCAGTTGAATCCTTTCAAGACAATTTTTTGACAGTTGTAGTCTCTTTAGATCATACTCCTCTTGTGAGCATGACAAAAGTCTGAAAGTGCTTTCATGGAAAAACAAAATTCAAATTCTAACTTGAGATGCTTCTCTGTGCTTTTAATCTAAAAGAACTAAACATCCTTTTGAGGTTTCCCTGGGGTTTTCAATGTCAACAAGGATTTTATTTTCCAAACCTATTTTTCTCCTGTTCCCACCCCCCTCCCCCCACCCCCATCTCAGTAAATGGAATTTCCCTTCTTCCTCCTGTTGGTTCAATCTCTAAAATATAACCAGATTCTGTCTCCTTCTTTCCACTTGTCTCACAATTCTCCTCACTCACCCCAACTGTTATTACAGCATCCTAATTGGACTCTATTGCCTGCTTTCTGTTCTATTCTCCAAGTTAGAAAAAATATGCAAAAACAGGACACTTCTCAGTTTGAATTCCTTTCCTCTACTTATCTTTCCTCTTTTGCAGGGTACCTTAGCTTCCAGATCCTTGGGTGTCCTTTCTGATCTTTAAAACTCACCTGTAACCTCTTGAAGGTCTAGGGCTAGGTGCACTCAGACCCCTCTATTTGGAATGCTTGCCCCATTACCCCTTTGATGGTATACTCCTTTCTGTTGACAGCTCTCATCTCACAGGGAGCTCTGTCTAAACAGTATGGTCCTATTTTCTCTATCTCAGCACCCTGTTCATTGGCTTTACAGCATCTTGCCCTTTTTGCTGGTCATTTGGCTTGTCTGCCACCTGTGTCCCTCGGAAGATTGAGTTCTATAAGGCTTTGGCTCACTACTGTCTACTGAGCTGATGACACTCTGCTTGAAAAACTGAAGGCTCTAATAAACAGCGTTTATTGAGTGAATTCACGAATGAAGCTACTGCTCTACTCTGTAGACATCACTTTCATCTCACTTGATCCAGGAAGAGAAACACATGCACCCACATAAATCCTAGCTGGGGAGGGACTGGGTGGTGGATTATACATTTAGTGAATAAGAGTCACCTACTAGTCAGTGGAGAAACATTTGGCTATAGTGGGCATGTGTTTATTCTTTATGTTCGGACAGGAAGGTGGTAGTGGAGAGGAGGCTGGGATGACACAGAAAACTGGCACCAATGAAGACAGGGAGGAGGTGGAGTCAGGAGGGCTTGGGGCTTGGCTCGCAGCTTTTTGCTTTGCACCCTTTGGCAGGTGATTCATCCTCCCTGATCTCAGTGGCTTACTGAGTTTCTTAGAGGCATGCTCCATTGTCCTAACACCTACTGTCACGTAGGTCAGGTAAGTGTCAGGAAAGCTCAAAGAGGGATGGAATAAACAGATGCCCAGGAATGGGAGGTGAATAAGGATCAGGCAGGGAAAAGAGCAAGAAGAAGGCAATTTCCCTTTTATGTACTTTGCCACTGCCATCTTGCTCTATTTTTCTGTCTCACAGATCCTGGCTAGAACTGCCTCTGTGGATAGTGGGTCAGAAGTAGGATGGGAAGGTAGGTGGGCAGGTGAAACTGTGGTGGGAAGGGAAGAACTGGGTCATCCTGCTAGGGAGGTCTGCCTCTTGGGATCATCTACAAATGCATGGGCTGTAAATGAAGGTAGATTGGAGACTGGGAACAACTGACCTTTAGCAAGACAGGTTCGTCTTCATTTTGAGCACTCACAAACAGTTGAGTTTTTGAGATTCTTAGAGTCACAGGAAGCTGAGAATCCTCTTCTGATACATAAGCAACCATGTCAAATTTCACTGGCAAAGAGAAAAGCCAAAAAAGAAAGTAAATCCATTGTATTTGTATAAAATCAAGTGTTTATGAAGATGCTGTGTGTGTGTGTGTGTGTGTGTGTGTGTATAGTTATGTCCCCAACTATGATGCAAGTACCTGAAGCTCAGAAATGGAATTTATATTGATACATCTTTGTATCCCTCACAATGTCTGCCATATTTACTAGGCAAGTAAATACCTAATGACTTTAGAATTTTCTATGTTGAATGAATGCTTGTGGGTGGAATAGTATTGAATCTCTTATAATTATATTAATGGGATAAGACCCTGGAATTTGTGAAGTCATGAGCAAAATGGGGAGATTTAGTGAAGCTGATGCATTCATATATTGCTAAGAATAGCGAAAAGCAGTTCAATTTTCCTTAGAGAACAATGCTTAATAAGAGCTGTAAAATTATTTATGCCTAGAAATCCAGCATTTGGAATATGCTCCAAAGAAATACCCTCATAGAAAAAGAAATAATTTATACAAAGACATGTGCAACTGAATTATTTAGAGGAAACCCTGGATACCTGCACAGCAACATGACTGAATATCCTAGCACCATTAAAAATGGCAAAAAACATATACTCTGTCCATATATGGGGAAATTGTGTGAAATAATATCAAGTAGGAAAGCAATTTATTTTGTAGAACACAAAATAATTTGTGAATGTCATAGAGTAGAAAGCATGTTAGCTGAAATATATCCAATTAGAAACAGCCCTGCTTGTTAGCACAGAGTAACCTCTTTTGATCTCTGGAAATCATTTTGTTTACTGATGACATGTCCTTAAGCTAAAAATATGTGCAACATGGAAGCTGGCTCGGTGTAACAATTTCTTGGATCCTAAATTTCATTCTTCAGAACACATGCAAATCTTCCTGGTTTCTTTTTTTTTTTTTCTTTAAAATTATTGGGTGCTTTGCCTCATAATTATGCTATCAAAGATAAGGATTCTTTCTAGTTTGGTGTCACTAGGAAGTTTGATCAACGGGTTCCTCATTGGCTTCTAAGTAAATTTGGGTAAGTCATTATATATTTCTGAGACTCAGTTTCCTTACTTTTAAAATCTGAGGATAAAAGTGTCTCAGAGAACCAAGGGAGATAAAACCTCAGGAAGCTTGTTACTGCACTTAGTCTTTCAGAGCTAGAACACTTGTTAAAGCTTTCAGATTTGGCTGAACTTTCTGGCCTAACCCAGAAGTTTTTTTTTTTTTTTTTTAAAACCAGGGGTCCAGAAGTTTTTTTTTTTAAAACCAGGGATGATGGGCTTCATGTGCAAAGCCAAGAATCTAGAGAGGTTTATTCTTTAAAAGCAGAAAGCTTAAAAGAAATGCAGAAATAAAAAGCTGATGAGAGGGCTTCCCTGGTGGCTCAATGGTAAAAGAATCCGCCTATGAATGCAAGAGACAAGGGTTCGATCCCTGGTCCGGGAAGATCTCACATGTGGTGGACAACTATTTAGCTACTGTTTGGGAGCCTGGAAACCACAGCTATTGAGCCCTTGTGCTGCAACTGCTGAAGACTGAGTCCCCCATAGCCCCATGCTCTCCAACAAGAGAAGCTACCATAATGAGAAGCCAGAGCACTGCAACTACAGAGTAGGCCCTGCTCCCCACAACTGGAGAAAAGCTCTTGCAGCAGTGAAGACCCAGCACAGCCAAAAATAAATAAATAAATAAAATCTTTTTTTTTTTTTTTTTTAAAGATGGGGAGATGACAGAATTGTCCATTTACCTGCTTCATCCAGATTATTTAATGTAGCAGCTGTGAGGTATGGACCTGACATATCTCGAATTATACTTTGATTGAGGGCGTCGTTCAGGATGCATTCCTCGTGGATGACTCTCATAAAGTTGTATTTCACGTTACTCTGGAAGCTGTAATGCGCTGATCTGGGCCTGATGATTTCTGAAACCATTATCACAAGCTCAGATTAATGTCCAAGTACAAACACTGACGATATATCTGCTCGAATACAAGCATACAAAGTAGTTATTGAAGGCACCTGAAGAATATCCCAAGGGAGGTAAGGAAATTGACAAAGAAGTGAAATCACCCCATCAGCGGAATTGATTCCAGGATTACCCCTGTGGTTACTTATCTCTAAAAACTTTGATTCTTTTCTTCAGGCAATGGTTGTTTTTTTATTAAAGGAGATCACATGTACAACTTTTTTGGTTGTTTGGAGGTTTGTAAGTAACCGGGAAGACTCCTCGTATTCTCCAACTACATTTTCAAATCAATGCACTCTGAGAAAAGAATCCACTAAAAATTTTATATGTCACTGAAGTGCCATTATAAACGTCTGCCATCTTTTTACTTTATTTATTTTCTTTTTACTTTAAAAAAGTTTTTTTTTCTTTTCTATCTACCACCTTTCTGAATGGTGGTATGTTTCAAAGCTTTACAAATTTTCATGGCTCTGAATAATTTTACTTCCAGGAATCTTTTATCACTGAGGAAATAAATGATGATAGAAATCAAGATTTATTGATATAGCCAGTCATTGTCACATTACATATATTGGTGAAAAACTGGTGCTCTAAAATGTCCTTTATGTATTGATAAATGAAAAAAGCTGCATATTAAATTGCACATAGGTGATCCTGGGAATGTTCATCATGTTTGTTAGTCTGTGTGTATGTACATGGAAAAGACTGTAAGAAAAGTAACGTAGTGCTGGCAGTGGTGAACTCTGAGGGGTAGTACGAGCAATTTTAATTTTTTTTCTTATATTTTCTAATTTTCTAGGTGAACATATGTGATCAACTGTTACTTTAAAAATATTAGATTTATAGTTCACGAAGAGGCTTGTACAGTAAAGGCATGGGAAAAAACTCATGACATCTGTAGTCAGGTAGAACTGATATGATTTGATGCTCTACCCTTACACACTGTGAGATTTTGGGCAGGTCACTATCTCACTGAGCTTAGTTTCCTCACATATAAAATGAGAATGCAGGGTTCTTGTGAAGGTTACAGATAATGCAGTCATTAATAAGTTAGTAGTGTTTGTAGTATTAGCAAAAATAATAATAATAATAGCGAACACTTATTAGGTATTTTCTATGTGCCAGGCATTATTTTAGTTCAGAAACTAGCAAGTGGTGACTCATTTAATCTTTACAACAATTAGGGGCTTGGATTAACTCCATTTACAGTAGAGGAGACTGAAGCTCAGACAGGTTAAGTAACTTGCCCAAGACATAACTAGTATGTGGAATAGCATAACTTGTAAGTGGTCACTCACTAATGGTATATAATTACTTTCTGCCAATAGGCTAGAAGTCACATGACTTAATCATATGGCCACCAAGTAAGCCTGTGAGCACATATGCTAAGCTCAAGTATCTACTGCTCTCTTCCCTTTGCAGAAGGATAAAAATTAATTTTCATTTCTTATAATTATCAGACAAATGGGTGGTTGCCCTCTTGTTACTCTGATTTTAGGTTTTATTTCCGCCTGTACTCTGCTGTCTGCATTTTCTTGAAAACAGAAAACAAGGATATTATTGTGTTTGACCCCTTACCTTCTTCTGTATTATTGGCAATGGCTTCCAGGTCATCATCGGTGATGAACTGATTTAAACTCAACCGTCTCTTTTTCAGAATCTTTCCATTGGCTGCCACCATCACCACATTCTCCTTGAAGCTAAGCTTGGATGTCTTAGAGGTTTTCGAGGTATCCAGGGACATAAACTTATTCATGTGGTCCCCATGAAGTGGCTCATAGCTTGCATCATAGAAGGACTTCTGCGATGAAGGAAAATAGAAGCTGAGAGGCTGTCCACGGCCAGTGAACAAGACTCCTTTACAGTAGGAGTTTTATTCAACAGTCTTAGAAGAATGGCCATTTTGGTCTTGGCGACCCACGTTTCATCGGTCTTTCCCTCCCCCAACTCTCCTTCCCCCTTTTCTCTGTATCCCTCCCCTTTCCCCCTTTCCTCCCACCTCTCCTTTTAGGATTTCTCTCAAAGGATGTGATCTTGGCAAGGTTTTTTGTCATCCCTCTTCAGACTAAAAAATGAGACCTTGTTATACTTAGTGAAGTAAGTCAGAGAAAGACAAATACTGTATGATATCACTTACATGTGGAATCTAAAAAATAATACATGGCTCCCCTGGTGGCTCAGTGGTAAAGAATCGCCCTAACAAGGCAGTTTGGGAAGTTCCCACTTCCTGTGGAGCAGTTAAGCCCCTACGCCACACCTGTTGAGCCCGTGCTCTAGTGACCAGGAACCACAATTACTGAGCTCACATACCACAACTATTGAAGCCCAAGTGCCCTAGAGCCCACGCGCTGCCGCAAGAGAAGCCACCACATTGAGAAGCCCGAGCACCACAACAGAGTCGCCACCGCCTCAACTAGAAAAAAGCCCGTGCAGCAGTGACCCAGAATGGTCAAACATAAATAAATAAAATTATTAAAAAAAAACTTGAAAAAAAAGATACAAATGAACCCATATACAGATCAGCAACAGACTCACAGACATAGAAAACAAACTGAATGGTTACCAAAGGGGAGAGGGAAGGTGGGGAGGGATGAATTAGGGATATGAGATTAGTAAATTCAAACTATTATACATAAAATAGATAAGCAACAAAGATTTACTATATAGCACAGGAAGTTATATTCAGTATTTTGTAATAATCTATATTGGAAAATCATCAGAAACAAATGTATCATTGTGCCCTACTCCTGCAGCTAACACAGTATTGTAAATCAACTACACTTCAGTAAAAAAAAAAGAAAAAAGAGATGTTGTGATGATTCAGGTCTTCAAGTGATGCTAGTGAGTGACTTAGTCTTCCAGTTAGTTCCCCCCAGAAGATTAAACATGTGCTTGACAAGGCTCAACTATTTCGGGAATACTCCTCTAGATACAGCTTTTAGAGTCAGTATTGAAGACACACAAAGCAGGACCTATACTGTCTATTTGTGGTCTCTTAGTGAAATAACACAGCATCTGAATGACTGCAGATTTTTTACTTTCAGTTGGCCTGCTTCCTCCACCTTAGCTTTATGGACTATTAGATCTAGAAAGCTATCTCTAATCTCCGGAGCTGATGTTAGAGAGGATGTCCACAACATATCATTTAAGACCCCTGGGGAAGTAGCCCAAGGGTGCTGGCCCGGGGAGGGCATAAGCAACCTTCTGATGGAAGGCTGACCCAGGAGATTCCATTCTTGGAGTTTCAGGTTCATTCTGCTCTGTTCTGGGAAAATCCACTGAGATGAAGGGCGCCATCAGCTCTTTGTCTACACAGGGAGCTGGCCTCACTTATCATGAAGAAATGAATATCTCTGGACTTCTAGTGAAGGCAAAAAATCTAAGATTCAAGCTGTTGCTGTTCTAGTAGAGAAAATACTGTGTAAGGATAGCAATCTCCTAAGAATTACAGTCATTTGCTTACCTGATTCAGAGAGAGGTGGTCAATTTCAGAACTGTAGTCTTCATTTTCACTGTTAAACGAGATGACGAGAATTTAATTCTGTTTGTTATATCACTACATTCACTGGGCAACATATTTTAATAACCAAACTAACTTTGGTTACTAACACACACACACATAGCCATTACTGTCATCTTTCAAAATTAAGGACCTCTATGCATACACATCCATACAGTAATTTGTACCTGATAATCTGAAATTAGTAATCATCAGGCCAGGCCTTGAACTTTACTTGCACTCTATTGATAAAAATGAGGCTTGGCCAATTTACTGTATAGCATAGGCACTGTAACCTATAATGGAATAGAATCTGAGATACATATATACATATATAACTGAATCACTTTGCTGTATACCTGGAACTAACACAACTTTGTAAGTCAGCTATACTTCAATTAAAAATTTTTTAAACTAGCTCCCCCCTCACCAAAACAAACCAAAAAACGAGGCTTGGCTAATGGATTGAAGAGTGGTAATCGAATTTCAGGGAAAAAATTTAAACTTAAGAGAGAAATCCTTTTGAAGCACTTCATCTAAATTTGAATCAAATAGGTTATTTGTTACACTTTGCTTTCATGTATTCACTAAAACAGATTTAATCATTTATACTTTGCAAAACATCCAGGCAACATTTCCATAGTCTACTTTCTGTTAGTGTGTAGGTACTGTGGAACACTGCATTTGTTTAAGGTGTTCTACAATTTAAACTTTTTATTTATTATCTTTCTCTTTCATCTGAATGAGACTGACTGCGTAGGTTTCACATGCTCAAATTGCTGTGAAGCCATTTCGCATTCCAGATTGAGATCAAGTTTTCCTAAGAAAGGTTTCTCTTTCTGACAATCCATTGCTGTAGCAGCGCATGTGAACTTGACTGAAGCTGGGTCTAAGTAGATGTTGAGAAACGCCAGGAGTCAGGAGACCTTAAAAGTAATCTTTCTAAAATGGCCATCTCCCTGTCAAAAATTTCACCTTGGTTTACCTACTGGATGCTTAATTTCCCTGAGTCTTCTCTGAACCTGCCCTGACTTCAGAGGTAGAACACATCTCTACAGCCTCTGCTGGTCTTGCCCCATGCTAGTTACTGTAATCCTAGCTGAATTCTTTCTTTTTAAAAAATACTTATTTTATTTACTTGGCTCAGCCAGGTCTTAGTTGCAGCATGTGGTATCTAGTTCCCTAATCAGGGATGGAACCCTGGGCCCCCTGCATTGGGAGCACAGAGTCTTAGCCACTGGACTCCCTGGCAAATCCCTCCTAGCTGGATTCTAATGTGCCTTGCTTCCCTCATTAAGTCACAAGAGACAGAATCTCTTTCCTACCTGTAACAGTTCTTCAGGTCTTCAAAGAGGTCAGGGACTTTGGCCATCTTCACTTCTGCAACAGAAAACGCCAGTAGCTGTCAGTCTGGCCAGTGTGTGAACAAGACACCTGCAAGGGGAACCACCTCCCTTCTGCGCTTCTAAGACACTTTGTGAATGACTGAGCTCACACTCAGCATTCTTCTTTTCACTGCCTTTGAATGATCTGCATATATATTTGCCTCCTCGGCTAGACTGTAAACTTCTGTTAGAATTTCAGTATCTCTTAGGCATCCAACACAATGCATTGCATTTGGTAGGCATTTGTTGAAAATTTGAATAAGTAAAAAACCAAAACCAAAAAACCCCAACAAGCATGAAACATTTAATTTATACAGTTGCAAGAGAGAGAAAGAGTTAGAAATTCCCAGTTTTCTCTGAATAGTTTTTGATAGCAGAGACTACCCCCAAAGGAAGGCTTGGCTGTAATCTCATGCTTTCACAGGAAATCAGTTCCTCTGTCGCTCAATTTCCCACCAGCAGAGAGAGAATCATTTTCTGAAATCTGACTATGATTCTAACTCACCCGCCAAACCAGAGAGGGACGGCAAAGGAAGGAAGAGGCTTAAGTTTCAGAGAAGGCAATTTGAGAGATCACAGCCAAGGAGGAAAATATTTTAAGAGCCAAAGATGTGATAAGGACGATACCTTTGCTGAACCGAGCTAGCAGCAATGAGACGACTGGCTCCTCGTCTTCGCGTGGAGGCTTGAACTGAGCCAGGCTACCTCGCCTTTTGTCTGCTCCGGAGTGGGCGTGGCCACGATTGCGTCACTGGGAATTTACAAGAATTCTGTTTTGTATGTAAGTTCATTCTACCTATACCGGTCCAAATAATGACAAATTATATACTTGAATATAGTGTTTCCAGGAAAAATTCCTAGAGATTCTAGGAGTTTCTGACTTGATTCATTTACTTATTGCTTTTGCTGTTAACAGTTTTAAACATGTGGTCTTAGAAAAAGGGGAAAAGTGCAGGAAATTTAAGTTTCTAAAAGTATTTGGTGGGGGAGGGAGGGAAAACTCCCCAAAGCAGAATTGTAGACGGTTAGAGTTAGAGGGGTGCTTAGGAGCTTAATTCGTTTGTTGCACCCCTGGGGCTGAATATGAATTGATGGTACTTGACAGCCCCTGGCAGCTAAGGAGTGGCTCTTGAGGGAAGCCAACCCATCTTTTCTGAAGAGGGAGGTTTGCTTGAGTAGCCATAAATCACTCTGAGGGTGGGAAGATGATCTCCCAGTTAGGGCAGGGAAGAAGACAGAAAATCGACAGTCAACCACAAAAGTCAGAGCTTTTACTCCTCTGAATACTGTCAATCTGTTTCAGACAGAAGTGACAGAGCTTTATGAGAAAACTCTACGCCCTGGTTCATGTTACAGTGAAGTTACCTTCTACCAGAGCCCAGAGAGAAGTCTAGTCTTCGCTAAGCTAAACCCAAGGTATATTAGGATAGCTGGAGACTCAGGGAGTAGCTGGATTCAAGAATGGAGATTGGGTGAACTTCCCTGGTTGTCCAGTGGTTAAGACTCCATGCTTCCACGGCAGGGGGCATGAGTCTGACCCCTGGTTGGAGAACTAAGATCATGCATGCCATATGGCATGGCCAAAAAAAAGAAGATTGGGAGAAAGGAAGGAGGGACTCATACATGAAACTAATTCAGTGTTGCCTGGCTGTTATCATTAAAGACTTTTTCAGTATCCTGAAGATGGCCCAGTTCAGGTGGCAGAACACCAGACTCAGCAGATAAATGTTTCCGTTTTCCTGGTTGGAGTTTAAGCCACATAATTTTAAATAAAGGAAATGGATGGGGAGAGTCAAGGAGGAATTTTTAAAAAAAGGTAAAGAGAGAAAGGCAAGGCACCAAAGTGCAACATGTTATTGAAAAGCAAAAAGCTCAGAACCAGAAGTAAAGTGTGAGTGAGGTATGCTATTTGGTTTTGTTACTTGTAAATGATGAGGCTGGTTTTGTGATCATTAAGGTCTGTCCTAGGTGCAAAGTCTTTGGTTCTGATTCTGTAGCCCAGTTCAGTTCCTCCTGGTCATAGACCGGGTGTTATAATTGTTATAAACAAAAGCCACAGAAATAAATGGTATCCTGGATGCTGTGCTGTGCTTAGTTGCTCAGTTCTGTCTGACTCTTTGTGACCCCATGGAATGTAGCCCACCAGGCTCCTCTGTCCATGAGGATTCTCCAGGCAAAAATACTGGAGTGGGTTGCCATGCCCTCTTCCAGGGGAACTTTCCAGCCCAGGGATTGAATCCAGGTCTTCCGAGTTGCAGGTGGATTCTTTACTATCTGAGTCACCAGGGAAGCCAATCCTGGATGCAGGCAAAGTAAATGTAGGACCAGACTGGGGTCCAGCTTGGGGATCTCAGGATGGATCCTTTTGTGGACAGTGATGGCAGCCAATTCTCTGCATCTGTGCTTCCCTTTGGGCTCCCCTGGTGGCTCAATGGTAAAGAAGATGTGGGCTTGATCCCTGGCCGGAAAGATCCCCTAAAGAAGGAAATTGCAACCCACTTCAGTATTCTTGCCTGGAAAGTCTCATGGACAGAACAGCCTGGCAGGCTACAGTCCGTGGGGTCGCTGAGAGTCGGACATGACTGAGCACACACGCATGCACGTGCTTCCCTTCAGGCAACACAGAAATATTAACCCCGATCACCCCCTCTTGCCTCCTACAGATCTTGTGAGAACTATTACTAAGAAACAATTGCAAAGCATATTGTGAACGTGGGGTGCTATGGAGATGCGACTAAACAAAAATAATAACAGCGCTAATGATGGCTTCTGTTCCTTGGGAACCTGTATAGTCATCACTGTAACACTTTAGTTCACTGAAGAAAATATCGTTCTTATGAAAATAATAATTGGAAACTTCGATAGGGAGGACATTTTCAGGTGAAGGCCTCCACTGAAACCCTGAAGATACCCAGTTTCTGGGAGGAATACATACCACCTCTTTGGTAATCCAGGAAAATACCCTTGGCTGTACCAGCAGTGGCAACACCCATCCTGGCCGATGTCACATCTCTGTTGGAGAAAATTCCTCAAATGTGGTTGTTGAATTTCTCAAGGAGGGTTTGAACGTTTTTTCTAGTCAGCCAATTCAGGTTGGAGTCTTTTTCCAGAATGTGACTTTCCTTGAAACCAGTTTCAAAGAAAGAACAAAAATGTGGGTGAGACTGAGAAGCCCTTGCTTTGTTTTGGGGAACCTGCTTTTCTGTGAATGTGAACAAAACTTGACTTGTGAGTAAGTCTCAGCATCAGAATCCCTCTTTCTCAGAAACAGAGAGAGAAACCTATGGAACCCCAAGAGTATTTGGAAGTTGTCCTGTGACTGGGACTTTGGGTGGTTTCATGTTATATCCACTTCTTGATTCTGAGGAGACCTCAATAGTCCTTCTTTAGTCCTGTTTACTTACATCATTAAAAAATTTTATGGCTCACTTCTTCTGTGGCAGGTATTTTGCTGGGCATTGGTATTTTTTCTTTCATGATTCACAAAATTAGGTATGTGGAATAGATGATGTAGTATTTTGGTTGGTGAGTGGATACACTTTATGAGCTTGAAGGCTATGGGTCCAAAAAGTCACGATGATGCTTTTCGTTTGGAAACTGCTTTACGTAGTTCACAAAGAGCTCTCACCTGGGCAGTCTCGCTGACTCCCCACTTTACCTATGAGAGATATGGATCACCACGCCCTTTTACAACTGAGGACTCTTGAAGAGGTTAAGTGACCAACCTACAGTCACAAAACCGGCAGAGGCAGCACTCGAACTCAAGTTTCTGTTTCCAAGCCTAAGCATCTCTTTCCACTGCATATAGATAGGTGCTTATCTTTTATCACCACCAATGCCAAGTGACAGGGCTGAAATGAATTGTTCTTCAAGGTCTTTCCTGCTTTAAACAGCCTATCATTCAGTGATTCTTGGGTTCTTTGTTAAAAAAAAAAAAGATAAAAGAGGAAATGTTTGAAATAGCTTCTCTCTCTTCTTCTCCAGTGAAATCTCACTTTTTGATTTGAAATACAAGAAAGGGGTGAAGTTGATGAGTGTACTTGAGTACATAGTCCTGGTGGAGTCTGGCTGGGGACTTTAGTGATGCTCTTGCCTTTGTACCTTGAAGATGGGAAACATCTATATGCATCTGGGGGACCAACTTTAAAAATCATTGCAAGTAGTGGGATGTAACAGAGTGTCTGACCAAAGAGAAAAACGTAACTCCTCTCTGTGAATTTTTGGGGAATGCAGTGATTTCTTTTTAAGAGGTGAAAAGCCTCTTCAGAGAAATAAAATGTGCAGAAACCATCACATGCACAGATTTTTGTTTTAACTGATGTCCTATGTAGTTGTAATCTGCTTTTTTAAAATTTAAATTTATTTTTAATTGGAGGATAATAACTTTACAGTGTTGTGTTGGTTTCTGCCACATATCAACATGAATCAGCCCTAAGTATAAGTATATTCCCTCCCTCTTGAGCCTCTCTCCCACTTCCCACTCCTATAATCTGCTTCTAAATTCCAGTTAGTGGGAAAGAGGAAAGGATCTAACACGTAACCTTGTCTTTGACGTCTGGGTGTTATACTACGTTATCTCCTTTAATCCTCTAATCCTGAGGTCAGTACTTTTATCACATTTACAGAAGAGGAAGTCAAGGTCCAGAGTCTTGAAGCAGTCTATCTAAAGCTTTGAGGTTACCAAATTGCTGAAACAGGATTCAGAGTCCAGAGCTGAGTTTCACACAACCATGAGGGACTCTCTTTCTCCTAGTGTGACCTCTTCCTTTCCTTTGCCCTAGTTGATGTCAACTTTTTTCTGCTTTGTCTTATTAGCCTATCAGAGGACCTAGAAAGATATGTTGGAGGAGGATGCACTGCAGACACTATCTAAATTAAACTCTTACTTGAACAAAGAGGAAGTCACTTAGAGAGAAAGTATCAAAGTCCCAAGGTCACACGGAGAGTTCATTACGAGAGTGGGAAGGAAAAATGAAAACTGTTTCTT